ATCGGTGACCTAAGATCAGGTCAATTTTGCGACCTCCCCATTATAAGTCAATGGGAGAAAATTGAAATGCGCCTCTTTTAGACAAAAGACATTATAAGCACTCCCAAACACTGAATTACAAGTGGTTTAGACACACTGAACATGACAATGGTGTCCGTGACCCCTATTTATGCCCCTGAGGTCATCTCAGGTCACGAATGGCGTCTAACAGTTTTTCGCTAATAACTTTTGATAGAGACATGCTAGAGCGGTGAAAACGCCTTAGATGTGTTCAGCTCGACGATACGGATCGACTGATATGCAACATGACCCTTTCCGGTCAGGTCATAACCTTGACCTGAGGTCAAATTTTCAAGTTGACCTTTCAAGGTCAAATTATAGTTCATTCGATGCGTCTTGACGAGAGGAACACGATGTCGGTAAAAGTTAGCTCGTACAAGACTTGGGTTAAAAGTTATTGCAGAAAAACTGTTTCCGGAAGAAAAAAAATCGGCTATTTTTGCAGTTTTTGCCCCCTGCAGTCAAAACCATTGACGTTAGGTCAAATCTGAGAGAATTACTCAGAAAGGGCGTTAATAGGGCTATCGAATGCGCTTTTCCGCGGCGCTGTAGCTCTATTGGTTCCCGAGTTATGCGTTGCTTCCTGGAAATTGTCGACATTCGACCTGAAAATCGGCGAAATTTTGCCTTCAATGACTTCTGGTGACCTGACCTTAGACCTGACAAAAAAAGACCGAAGTGATTTCGTCATTATTTTTGGCGCTCTTTCGAGCACCGCCTTTCGCGTATCGCTACGTGGCCCAGGAGCCGAGTTAGAAGTGGTGGGGGGGGGGGTGTTCAACCCCCCCCCCAGCAGGGCGTGGAAATCCAGGACCCCCAGCCGGGCGCGGGTTAAGGTTGTGGCATGACATACATTAGGTGGGCCCAGTGATGGCCAAGTCGTGCCTTGAATGTCGAGTGTTTTAGCCGAAACAACTTCAGTAGGTAGAGCGTTCCAATCACTAATGATGCGGACGCTGAAGCTGCTTCGTCGGACGAGAGTCACAGCTCGGGGTTTGAGCAGCTTCCACCCGTGTCCTCTGGTCAGTTCGATTTCGTTCTTGGTGAAGAAGGTGGTTGGCGGCACATCGATTCCACCGTGAAACAGCAGGTAAACCGTCAGCATATCTCCCCTGCGGCGACGGTAGAACAGCGACGGCAGTCGGAGACGCTCCAAGTCCAGACGCTCGGGGTAGGGAAGGTGCTTGATGGACCCCAGCATACGCGTGGCGCGTCTCTGTACCTTTTCCAAGTGTTTCTGGTCACCTTTGCTGAATGGTCCCCAGACGGCGTTCCCAAACTTCAGAAGGGGGCGGACAAGAGCCTTGTAGAGCAAAGATAGGGTCGTCTCGTCGATGTGGGCGAAGGATCGCTTGATGACCGCGAGCAGCTGCGAGGCTTTTGAAACAGCCGCCGCCGTTTGCGAGTGGAACTTCAGCTCCGAGTCGATTATGATCCCCAAGTCCCTTCCTTCGTCTACCACGGCGATGGGCAGCCTGTATTCATGTGCAGGGCTTCTTGAGCCCATGTGCATCACCTTACACTTCCCTGCGTTTAATGGTAGCAGTCCCCTTGAGGAACATCGTGCCAGAGCGTCCCGGTCACCCTGCAGACCAGCACCACAGTCGGATGGATTTGTCAGTGGCTTGTATAGCTTGGTTTCGTCCGCGAACATCTTCATATAGCTCGAGACCTCTAGTGGCATGTCGTTGACGGATATTGCGAATAGCGTCGGCCCCAGCACTGAGCCTTGGGGGACACCGCTGAGTGGAGACAGGTGCCCACTCCGAGCTGCAGCCCTGAATCAGCATCCGTTACCGACGGCCAACTAGGAAGGTCTGTATCCAGGTGAGCAGTTTACCTCCGACACCATACGACCTCAGATTCTCGAGAAGACGTTTGTGTGGCACCGAGTCAAACGCTTTGGCGAAATCCAGGTAGACCACATCCACCGGGGTTCGGTCTTCCAGGGCGGCAGTCCAGTCTTCCAGTGCCTCAAGCAAAATTGGGAGCTACACGAACCCTTCGCCAGGAAACCATGCTGAGCTCTGTGAAGCAGGCCGTTTGTTGACATATGGTGCAGGAGCTCATCCCTGATGACAGATTCGGGGACCTTACCAACAGACGGATGTCAGGCTGACCGGCCTGTAGCTCGCTGGTAGGCAGCGATCTGCTTTTTTAACCTTCGCCCCAGTGGGGGGGGGGGGGGCATATGTTACCACCCTGTCGCGTTTTTCGCGTGTGAATAAAAAACCGCGGCGCGTAGCGCCGCGCCGCTTGGGGTAGCTTTTGGTACATCAATTTTGGACAATATGTGAAATTTTTGACCCCAGGTCATGTCAGGTCAGGTCACCAGGTCAAGTTAACTGACCAAGCCTAAAATAAAGTTTGCAATCATGTCCAGCCTGCAGTGTTTGTCAGAAAGGTTTTAAACTTCGTGGATTGCATGCTGTTATGGGCGCCTACAATTTGTATATCTCGGACTTTTTATATCCGTGACCTAAGGTCAGGTCAGTGGCGTGACCTTTCCATTACAAGTCAATGGAGAAAAATGAAAATGCCTCTAGATCCGTGTGTACGCATAGGAACAGTCCAAATATTTCAGAATCACAATGATTTAGTCCACTCGTGATGACCAAGGTGTCATTTTTGCTGATAGCCTCTACAAAGGTCATCCGAGGTCATTTGAGGCTACAAACAGTTTTTTGCCAATAACTCGCGATTGGAAAGAGATAGAACGCTGGGGATGGTCTCATTGTGTTTGTCTCGTTAAGACGCATCGACTGATATGCAACATGACCTTTTCCGGTCAGGTCATGACCTTGACCTGACGTCAAATTTTCAAGTTGACCTTTCAAGGTCAAAGTATAGCTCATTCGACGCGTCTCGGCGAGGGGAACACGATTCTGGCAATAGAAATGTCGTGGCTCTTTGTAGTCGAAAGTTATTGTCGAAAAACACTTTTCGTAAAAACAGCTATTTTTGGAGTTTTTGCCCTCTGGAGGCTAAACCGTTGACCTGAGGTCAATATTGATAATAACTTTGTCAAAAGCAGAGTTCAAAAGCTATCGATTGCTCTTTCATGCGTTTTTCTAGCTACCATAGTTCCTGAGATAGCGGCATGTTTTCTGAAAAATATAATGACAATCGGCAAATTTTGACCTTTGATGACCTCTGGTGACCCCAATATTGCTCTAAGGTGAAAAATGACCGAAATACTTTCAAACGTACGCATTGAGAGCTATCGGCTGCTTTTTACCGCGTCTTTCTAGCCCTCTTAGTTTTTGAGTTAGAGGTGGGTGGTAACATATGCCCCCCCTCACTAGGGCGAAGTTGGCTGAGACCGCCACTGGGGCGCGGGTTAATATCGGAGTCATGTTGCCGATTTTCCACTCTGGGGGGACATCCCCGGAGTCCAGCGACTTCCTGAAGATCCAGCGCAGTGGGTGAGAGAGGACGGCTGCATTCTCCTTCAGTACCCGAGGGTGAAGCTGAAGACCATCGGCCCGGGTCGTGGTGAGCTGTGTGCGCGCAGTGCTCGACGTCCTCCAGAAGCAGTCCATCATGAGGGCACTCCAGGACTCCAGGACAGGTTGGTGTCTGAGGCTCCTTCAACAAAGACCCATTCCTTTTTAATTTATCACGCATTTATTTCTAATATAATCGACAATAATCCATGATCATTAATTAGTCGCCTAGATTCACATAGAGAGCCACCAAGTCTGCCAATAACTGTCTCATCTAAAGCAAGCACACAGATTCTGAAAAAGGTTCAGAACTCCAAACTTCATAGGTATTGGTAGATAATCCTGACGAGATAATCCACTTGCCATTTCCTGGACTGACCGTGTGATTTCCTTGACTGAATGTGAGTGACCCTGGTGGTGTTTCACCGATGATAGCAGCACACCGCTATTCTGAGGGGTGTTCACGGGCACCACACACTGTTGCGTGCGGTGTGTGCGGTGCGTCCAGCAGGCGTGGGGGTAGGGGCTCTGACGTAACGGCTGCGTGCGGTGGACGGTCCGCTGTGGCCAGTCCCGACCGGCCACAGCGGTCGCTGTGTGCGGTGACGGAAGGCCGACGTAGGGACGCAGTGGGCGGAGCTTGGAGGCTGTTATAGCCCAGTGTAACTGACTGATTTCAGTGTAACTGACCCAGTGTGCCTGATGACTGATCTGTGCACCAATTTCACTAAAAGCTCGTCAGAACTGAAACACAGGACATGGGTGCTATTTCATGGAACATCACACAGTGTCTACCTTGGCCTCAAACAAAAGCTGGTGGGGTCAACAAACTTTGCATAACCATTTAGGCATCAACTGGTATCAGTATGAGGGCTCAGGAGGGTTTTAGTTTGGTTTACTTACTAAGGGTCAAGGGACGCTGCGAAAGTCACAACTACAATTTACCCTTACCGGCACACGTGGATCAACCGGTTCTTCCTCAGCCTCTGCCATGTCAATGACGTATAGATGAATTTCGATTCATACACAAGTAAGAAATATTTGAACAGCCCCCATGATGAAAGGGGAGCCACTCAAACATACACCAAGGCCACATACACTGTAAACTGCAAAGTTGACTGAAATGCATATTTTTTGGCAGTGGTAGAAGTGTATCAGCTAGCGAAAATTATCGCAAAATTCTCTGAATGAGCAATTAACCGCTATATTTTAATAAATTCCTCCAAAGGGACAATTCTAAGGCAATTTTAGAAACAATCCCTTGTCACAGCTTGCTCAGCATTTCTATTCATTTTGTTAAGGTTCCTAATGTTCATGTAAGGGAGCGAAGAAAAATGATTTTTTAAACTGTCGCTTCTCTGGTCCACGCACACTACCTCAGCATTCTACATTCATGTAGCCCATTGACAATTGTTTAGGAGGGAATGTACAAACTTTCAGTATCAACTCAGTATCAAGTATTAACTCAGCAGTATCAACATCAAGTACGAAGGCTGACTGCAGGTCTTTACTGAAATATTTGCATTCCGTTTCCCGTACCTATCTATCAGAATTTCCTCTTGATGTCGCCCTTTACGAGAGTTTTACAAAACTCTTCAATATTTGTGCGCATACTGCTGTCCAATTATAAATGCCATAAATGCGGTGCTGCCCGTTTGTGGGGGGATTGCACGGGATTTCCCACGGATTTATTATCAATTTAGAAATCGTACACAATTGGACATTTTGCTTACCGAGGAGGTAAGCAGCTAGTTACCTCAAATGATTGAATGCCGGTGATATATTGCATTTGTTACTCTGCACCGCAATGTCACAGTTGCGCCATAATTGGCATTAAATTAGCAATAATTAGCCATTATTGGCTTTTAAACATTTTGCACATGCTAATTTACAATCCAACCCTTTGTAACCCATCCTGAAAGGTACATAATGCCTGCCTGAAACCGTTCTTTAGCATAGTTTATATTTTTGGCATTTGCAAATTGCAGCGCAGAGAGGTCAATTTGTGCGTGCTTTAGTCGTCAAAGGTCTCCCTTTGAATTGCTTATCGGGTGCAATTTGCAATTGCCTGCCAGTTGCCACCCTGGTTAAATGTCAACAGTGGATTTGAGTCTGGCTGAAATATTCATAATCATTTAATTTCATTTCCAGGGAATTCATCTTACATAATCGGAATGAGCACTGCAGCCGCAGTTGATACACTAGAGGCCTTGGTGAGTACCTACCTACCTGTGTGTAGCAAAATGTGTACTTTGCACCACCCACTGTCAGGCTGTCAACTTAATAACCACCTCTGAGTTAAAAGACAATTGATTTGAGTGGACAGGTTGTTAAGCTGAGTCGTGCTGGTGGTCTGAGTTTTTGTTGTGCCGGGGGCATTAATCCACACCCCCTGTCTAACTCAGCTCTTGGGCCATGTATAAGTGGCATTTGAATGAGTGAATAAAATAACGAGTAAAATACTTTGGGTATTTTTATGTCAGGTCACCAGAGGTCATCAAAGTTCAAACTTGGTCTAGTTAAACAATTTTCAACAATGCTGTGCATAACTAAACATGGAAGCAAATAAAGCTACAACGCCTTTGAAAACTGCATTCGATAGCTCTTTTCCCGCTCTTTCTGCGGTGTGTCCTCAGATTTGACCTAACATCAACAGTTTGGCTTCCAGACTCCAGAGGATGCAACCCCCCCTAAGATTTTTCGAAAATAACTCGTAAAAAGCGGCCGATCGCGACGAAACTTTCAGTACCCTCGAGTTAATCAATCTTACACCTATCTTAAAAAATTAATGACCCTGACCCTAATGACCTTTGACCTGTAACGTAGCATTTTTGTCGAGACCATGTTTGGCTGGTCGCGATTCGGCGTATGTCGGCCCGCGTTAGCCACGCGTTTGCAATCTTTTCGTGGTCTCAAGCGTTCAAACATGTGATAAGATGCTGGTCCCATGCATTAGGGCCGGCGTCAGGGTCACCTGAAGTCAGGTCAGGTCATTGACCTTTGATGACCTTGGTTTCTTTTTTCGAGTTTTACATGTTTCCAGGCCAGTTTTTAAAAGCTGAATTCGAATTTAGCAACCATTTTAACATTTGCGAAGTACGAGTAGTTTTGGTGCCTTCGTAACATGTTACGGAGCTTTCTGAAGCGGTTGATACGTACTACGAGCATGCGGCAGGTTGACCTGACTGCCGATTGGTTGACCTGACCTGACCCGAGCTGCCTAAGTGCATGAAAACACCTTCTGTGGTCAAAACTAACATGATATTCGTGATCAGCATCCCGAAAAACCTCCTAGCAGCCACACTTTACGACATTCTAACAAGTCCCGACTTTTCCGACTTTCGGATCATTGACCTGACCTGGCAGGTGAACCGACGACCTTGGACCTTAACCTACGCCTTGGTGGGGTCTGTTTATAACGCGACCTGGCGGTGGTGGTGGGGGGGGGGCTATTTTTGCTCCCCCCCCGTTTCTCTGTAACTACTGGACGGATCCGCAAAATTCAAACGGTGTTCGAAAGTCTTATCAAATTTGCTAAGGGAATTATAATTTCATTGACCTCGGGGTCACCGATGACGTCAAAGGTCAGGTCAAAGATAAAATGTTGTGCCGTTCACGGGTCTTCTAGGGAATGCGCTATAACATCGAGTAAAACACATTTTATCGAAAATCAGCGATAAGGCGACAGTTGCCTGGTACATATGTTGCTATTACAGGTCACTGATAACACCAGGTCAGGTCACAGGTCAGGTCACGTAAGGGTCAGCACATGAAACCAATGTTACTAGGGCTTTGCTATGCATGTTTTATGGCTAACTTTTCATTTCTAACTCAATGGTGTTGGTTATAAGACCATCAGAAACGGTTAGGTCACTTTCTGGTGGAGGGCAGGTCAATGTCAGGTCAAAGGTCAAACTTCAAAGTTGATATTTTTGCATAAAATGGGTATTGATTCATTGCAGCTCGTCGCGGCGAGTCTAATGGTGGTCTTTGTTTTGCGGTACGTGGTCTAGAATTACTAAAAAAAGTGAGTCAAAAAAATTGACGTCATCAATTTTGAACAGTTTTTTCGCTAAAACTTGGCCAAAAAAGAGGTATCGATCTAAAACTTGCTTTGTAAATATAACCTGCTCAGAGTCGCGCGCGGTTGTTTTCGCCGCTCGGCCCATTCGAGATGCAAAGTTGATAGTCACACGAAGTTTATTTGGGTCCTTTGAATATACCACTTCGAAATTAATCGATTCTACAGACCTTTTTCTTTAATCTATATCTTTAATCTATTTAACAGTAACTCGGACTAGGCTGATTTGGCTGGCCCTAACTACGCTTCGTGTGACTATTAGCTTTGCATCTCGACTAGGGCGAGCGGCGAAAACAACCGCGTCCGCGACAGGGGTGCATTGTTCCAATTCAGTGTGTCATGTTTGCTTATGAACCGTTGTTTGAGAGTGTTTAGAACGACATTGGTCCAAAAGAAGCGTATTTTAATTTTCTCTCATTGACCTACAATGGATAGTTTTTTTTTGGGGGGGGGGGGGGTTAGGCCCTTTCGGTCCAGTAAGACCATTTCAGAGCCGGGAGGATGATAGGATATGGGGGGAGACATTGGTCTGGGCAGGCACCGTAGTGAGTCGCCGGGGCTGAGCCCGTCCAGAGGACAGGCCACCCAGCCCCAAGGCACTCACTGCACCCGGCTACGGGGTGCGCTCCCTCGGGAGCAGCGGTGCCGCTCCAAGGGAGCGGCCCGCATGAGATAAAGTTGCCTGTCCAGCCCGGAGGGGGGTGGCGGCGTAGAGGAGAAGGATTTCAGTATCCTGAGGATAGAAGCACGGAACGGTTAACAATGGAGAGGTTGCAAATTTTACTTGACCTTAGGTCACAGATATCTAAATTCCCGAGATCAACATTTTATACATACTATCTTATCAATCTTTAAACGTTTCAAAGCAATCATTTCGTCGGTGTTTCTAAAATGATCATTTGAACTTGTTCTGATTTAAGGTCATTTGACGGACCTGATGACCTGACCTTGAACGACCTGGATCTGATATTTTCACGACTTATATGTAAAAGAATCATGAAAAGTTGTGCCAAAAACGGCGTCGTTCCGCGCCCCCGTTTTTTTTTTAACGGCGGTGCGAAAAAAACTGTATACTCTACACTAGTTATGATTATTCTTCTTATTTTTTGAAGCTTTACCTGAATAACGGCCAAGCAGGCTAGGGATCGAACCAACTTGCGCCATCATGTGCCGCTAAAGAATGCAGAATGGCAATTGGCAAGTGCCGGCAAGTGTTCATTCATTTTCTGTACAGCGTCTTCCGACTACCATTCGCCGAACTCATGCCCGGAATGGCGTAATGCTGAAGATATTGATGTTTTTTGTTTGCAGTTTCGTAAAGTGGACTCGGAAGTAGAATCCATTTTACGTGAGCTTGACGCGAACTCTGCTGGTGACCAGGTACGTACTTCATTTTCTGTGAGTAGTGAACTGTCGGGCATCCGCGCCTCTGTTTTTCCTCACAATTCAAATTAGGTGCCCTAATAAGTATGCTCAAGTATACTCTATACATCCTTATTGTCATTGGCGCATACTGAGCTCGCGTCAACGCGCCCGAAAACCTCAGTAAACAGACGATCCTAACTGTCAATCGGCTGCTGCGAGCCGTAGCACTCACTTCCTGTCCAAAGTGAGAGCGGATGTCCGTGCTGTCCGTCAGGCGACCGTGGGCGAGGTGGCGCTCCGGCTCACCAAGGTGCGGCAGACGTTCGAGACGCTGCGCGCAGAGGTGGCCGACGTGCAGCGGGAGCGTCAGCAGTGCGTCGACCAGCTCAACACAGAGCTCGACCAGTTCTCGGAGCTGTTCGACCGGCTGACGGCGCGTGTCGGGCCCGTGCCGCCGCTGGACCCGCCTGCCGACCGCTGACTGCGCGAGCCCACCGCCAGACGACGCTGAAAGGTAAACGATATTCGTCATTGCAGGAATTGTTCACCAAAGTGCAATCGCCAGTGTATTTTTGGCAATGCTTGATGTTGGTACTGATGCAGCCTGCAGTACTTGTTCAAGATTCAAGAATAAATAAAAGTCGTAAATGAAAGTACCTACTTATCATTACAGTTAAGCTTCACGGAATACCGGTTTCTTTTCCCTCTTCGCAGATGAATTCCGCGGACGAGCGCAACTTTCGGTCCCAGTACTATGGGAAGGTGGGCTTCCGTCGCGGTGACGAGAAGCGTTCGCTGGAGCCGCTGCTGGGCGAGGTGCCGGTGGACGCCGGGCGCCTGGCCCAGGCGGTGCGCACGGCGCTCCAGCTGCCCGCCATGTACCGGCCGCTCGTCTGGAAACTGCTGCTCAAAGTCCAAGTGAGCGTTAGTGCTGGTTTTACGCCCCGCTGTTTCCTATGTTCTGCACCCGATCCAGGAAGCTTGAGCGACCATGCGAGGATAAAATCAACCATGTGGCTTAGTGATTTCTCGCTGTCGCCGGCCTGTAACTGTACGTCGGTTCGAACTGTGTGGTCTGCCGACAGCCGTGCCACCCCGAGGCGGCCGAGTTCGTCACGGCGCGCCGCCGGGAGACCTGTGACGACACGGAGCACATGCTGCGCCTGCTGGGCCACGTCACGGACGACACGCCGCCGGCGCTCGTCCACTGGCTCGGCTGGCTGCTCAACTCGGGCCGACTGGTGGCGATGGACGCGGCTCAGATCGACGACCAGAGCAGCGCGCCCCAACTGCAGGTGAGCAGAAATGGACGGCCGGTGGCCCGAGCTCTCAGCGGTAGGAGGCCTCCGAAGAGAGCTGCTTGAACCAACTCCTGCGATCGGAATTCTGATGCCTGTGAAGGAGGATATTAGTGGTGTCATTTTCCAAAAAATGGCTGACCGATACCGACCGAAACCGAAATTTGGGAAACATTTCCGACCGAATACCGACCGACAACATCCCAAGCCAAAATTTGACCGAAATTTGACCGAAATTCTAGTTGCTATTATTTTACCCCCAATTATTTGGTAAATTCCGATGGAAAATAATGGGAAATAGCATTTCAGTCCAAGTTCAGCCAATTCTTAGCCACTGCAAAATACATTTTGTGGTAGAAGTTACATTGCTAAGGGTAGATTGCAGGGTACATTGGCTAAGGGTACATTGCATTTAACTAGGAAAAAAAATGGAATGCTTTCTCTTGTTGAAAATGGTTTCACTGACAGGGTGACCGAAAATGTCCGATTTTTGGGTGGCCTGACCGACCAATTACCGAATCGGTCAGCACATCTTTTCGGTAACCGAATTTTTCGGTAACCGATTGACACCAATAGAGGATATTATAGATCTCGAGAATGCGACTGGGCTGGTTCAGCGCCGTTGATTAGAAACGGTTCGCTCACAGCAAACGCAGCATTGATCATAGGCTTTGATTTGTGCCTTTTAATTCATATTGTCATTGTCTCTAGCAGCCGTGCCCGTGACTTTACACATCTGTGAAATCCGGCCATTCTGTATCAGCTGACTGTCTGCAGCCGAATCCGCCCGGTGTCTGTGTCTCACACCGTCTCCCGCCCTGCAGGTGGCCGAGCTGGTGGCTGACCTGTTTGACGGCGCCGCGGAGCGCTGCTGGGTGAGCTGGCGACTGTGGACGCTGGCCGCCGGTGCGCTGAAGCTGCTGCCCGGCCAGCTGCCCTGGCTGACGGCTCAGCTGGAGCGCGAACAGCCGGCGCTGGCCGCTCATCTCAGTCAGCTGGGTGTGCTGAGTGCCGAGCGCGACAGCCCGCTGCGCCACTGGGCGGAGCGGCTCTTCTGCGGCATCCTGCCCGGGTCGTCGGTGGGTCGCCTGCTAATAACTACCCTAGAGTAGACACTCCCCTAAACCTATTAACCAATAAAATTCACGGTCAGCGTGTTCTATGAGCTAATTTGCCTCTGCGACATGCACGAGAACCTTGTGCTTGTAGGAGATTTCGTTGTTTTGTACAATGTAACATCACTAAAAAGGGAACAATTATGACATGCATCACTTAGTCAGTACAATTATTTTCTTCATCGTCGCTGAGTCGGTTACCGTGTGCGTTACTGTGTCTCTGCGTGTCTGTCTGTCAGGTGGAGCGTCTGGTGGACCGGCTGGTGGCCGGCGCAGAGCGGATCCTGCCTCTGACGGCGGTCAGTCTGCTGCTGACACACAGCCGCGCACTGATGGCCTGCACGGACCCCGCCGACGCCCGCCGCCTCCTCCTGCACGTGCAGCCGGAGGACACCGACCGCGTCTTCAACTGGGCACTCGACAGCTGGACCAAACTCAACAAGGTCTGACTGACTACACGGACTCGACTCTGCGGGTGGGTGTCGGAAAACGCTTGTGATGGTCATAATATGAATCCACCCGGCTGCCCGGCTGGTGTGGGTCAAACAGCCACTAAGTGCACTGTGGATCGACATGTATTTGTGAGCGCGTTACTGAGGTATGGGCGAGATGTCCGGTCATCAGCCGAAAACCGCCTTTCATTCATGTGTCAAAGCTGACGCGTTTTTTTCGTGTTTCGGACCGTGTCGGTCCTCTGACTCTGTGTTAGCTGTTGCGAGGCCGCGGCAGTTAGCTGGTAGCTGCATTCTACACCGGTCGATGCTGTTTTACGGATTCTCTTCAGTGACCTGGTCACCTGAACTCACCGTATTGGTTTCGTTTCGAAAGTAACTATGTGGAACATGAATTCCTTCAAATGATTTACACTCGTTTAGCATCTTATAGCTTTTTCTTTGTCGACAACTCTTGTTTGATTTTGGAAAACAGTAGTACGCACATTCCGTCTTCGCAAATCACCTGCCGCCTCACAGCCATCGTCAAAGCTAGCACGATTATCTGTCCCGCCGGTGCCGGGTTCGGTGATATTTTTTTTTAGGGCTCGGTGTTGCATCATCATCAGACTGGTTTGTTTCATAGCGTATTGTTTGAGATTTTTGGAAAGCCCTCCAATGTAGACATTTTTGTCGAAATATATAGCATAACAATATGGCATCGGCTGTCACATTGGCACGCAATCAATCAGACCGATCTAGAGATAGCATAGTTCGTTGATGACAAACACCCTAGCGGATACTGATATCGGCGTCAATCACTGTTGGTATGTACCGTTCAATTTCGTATCATCGATTTCCCGGGTTTGAGCCCTTGGCATTATGGGTTCGTCGAAGCGCCGCAAAAGAGGTTCAGTTTTCCTCGCCAGGGAATGTTAGCTGTGTTACTCCGGCGTTGGAGCGTTGTCAGAAGCTGCGAAGCCATTTCTGTCTATTCCATGCCATTTCTGCCATATGCCATTTCTGTAGCCGTGGGCACGGACTACGACGCCAAAACGTTCGGGGTGGGGCCGGAGGTGTTCCTCAAGACTATAAAACAATATACATACAATGCATTGCTGAAATAGGTACGGACTGTGAACTTTGATGACCGACAGTGGCGCCTGCATTCTTTTTAATGTCTCCAGCACATTTGGTACGTTTTCGGCACATATTGTTTTCATTACAAAGCTTGTATCCCGTGGCGCGATTTAGCGATCCAAACCCAGTGCAGATTTGCAAAGATGCAAAGCCAGTTCGGTTTGGATACCTGCCTTGTCATTGTGAAACATCTGTCGAAAACCTTGCAATAAACTGCAAAACCACTGAGTGACTTACTCGGCTCTTGCCGAGCGAGGTTGCACTAAACTCCTTAGCTGCAGCCCTGTTGTAGTTTCGACTATCCACAAGTGGCCTTGGCAGTTGGCAATTAACAATCCGATTATTCCGTATCATTTATTGACCTTATCCGTTAACAGATGGTTAAATCAATCTGCAAACAGACAGTCGATGCAGGACGTTTGCAAAGGGATCAAGTTCCAAACGGCCGGAACCTTACAAACAAAGACACTACGGAGTACGGAATGCACGCAAAATCCGACAACTCACTGCAGGGGCACAGTGGAAGAAAACAAGTGATTCACAGTAAGCAGTTGGCGGGCTGCAGCGGCGCTGCTGGCTGACCTTAGGCGGGCTGGCCGGGCGCTGGCTGATCTCAGGCGGGCTGACCGGCCGCCGGCTCGGCCGGGGTTGGCCAGTACCGGTTGGAGGCCATGTGCTCGGCCAGGTAGTCGGCGCCACACTCGACGTACTGCTGACGGGAGACGTACTCGAGCTGGCCCGCGGCGCTCAGGGAGCGGGCGCCGCGCCACGCGTCCAGCGAGGGCGAGCTGGCCACCGACACGGCGAAACTGCAACACGCAGAGTCTGTCACAACGTCACACAGACACATAGCGTCGATACACAGAGCTGTCTGAAACTAAAGCACAACAAAGATAGCCACGGACTGGCTAAGCGGCACCAGCGAGACACTGAGCGTCAGCCGTTGCGATCGACCACCTTCTGCACGAGTTATCTGAAGAAAAAAAAACTGGGTGGACGCATCCCTGTTGGTACTACCAGATAATCGGTTCATTTGGAAGCGTCATGTCAGAAATCATGGTTTTGGAACTGGAAGAAATTGTTACCCACATCTCCTTCCGTATCCGGCTGAACCGTCACGGCTCCTGCCGCTCAATTTCTAGCTAAGTTCCTCTTTCGGCATCACACGCACCTGGACTGGAAGGGCCGCATCTGTCGGAGCTCGTGCTCCAGCCGCTGCCGCAGACCAGGCACGTTACTTACGCCGCCGGTGACGAACACGTTACCCGCCAGTCGCTGCTGGCTCTCGGCGGGGTACTTGGACAGCACAAACTGGATCGTCTCGGCCAGACCCGCCTGATCCAGGCCCAGCATGCTGTGGAGCCAAAACACAATGTTATCGACTGCGTCGCTCATGCGAAGTGCGAGTGCATTTTCTATTTCGTTCGATACAATAAGTAGCGTGCCCTGATTAAAGGAAGGGTGCCACCTTTTGGACACAACGCAGTTTTTACAAGATTAGCCTCACATGAACCTAAAAACCGGCTTCACTTACCTATGCTCGAGACGGTCAGCATTGAATCCGCACGTGAAGTTCATTTGCGAGTTTTGCTGCCAGCATTCGGGCAGGCAAAAATCTTCAGCACTATTTCCTCGTCGTGTTAAGGGTATTTTATAAAACATGAAATCAGCAAAGGTATGTATAAAAGTTATACTTTTGAAGCATGTTTTATCATTTTGAAAGGGTATATTTTTTCTTTATGGTATACACTTAAGTTTTAAAATTTTAATTGGGAAGTTTTTCTAGTAAGTTGCATGAAGGGTGAAGGGTTCCATAGATCTCTTAAGCATTGTAAAGGAAAAACCTTTACTCGACTTATTTGATGATCACCGTCATTACCAATTAGGTGGCAAATATGGCCAACAGTTACCTACTTGGTTACCTACAACTTAGTTCAAATCATGTTATCTTCTTCCTTTTTATTTGTTCATCTTTTTGTCTCAGTTGCGCCATCAATGCAAATGGCAGAATGATATGTTGCCATGACAACAGGATATGCCAGCCGTCCTAGCTGCCACATCAAACGACCTTGAGTTGTAGTGGTGATATAAACAACGATCTTTTTTTTTTGGCCAATGTATTAAATGCAATGTTTCGGTTTTTTGTATATTGTGGACGCGCTAACCACGTCTAAAAATTCAAATAAGTAAAATAGATTCATAGAACAAAAATTTCGGAAGGTGGCACCCTTCCTTTAAGGCAAAAGTGTATTAAACAGTCGACTTACTTAAGTCGTTCTATCGGTGAATCGCAAATATACACATAGATTGTGTCGCATGGCTTATTGGCAATCGAAAACAAAAGTCTGTGATATTACAACACACACGCCTTTCCCGGCGCCGCGGAACACGCTGAACACCACCCATCCCTGTCTGACCTGGGCTGGAAGAGTATCTCGGCAGTCTGCAGCGGCTCGGTGCCCAGCTGGATCTGGTGGGGCTGAGCTCCGCCGGCGGCCGGCTGACACCAGGCCAGGTCGGGCGCCAGCTGCCGGAGACGACCCTCGACCTCGGTCAACTCCTCGGCGTCTGCCTCCGAGTCGCTGTCACCGCCGTCCTGCCGCCAGAGAGCGAGAGATACTGAAAAACCACTCGTAACACGCACAGTGCCGGCTACTAAGAAACCAAAGACTGTCGGTCCGATGACTTCACTGGTAACAGATCAGTCGCACTCCACCCAGTCAGTGACTGTTTTATTAATTACAGTTAGAAACATAACCTCGTATTTTTATATACGGTGCATTTTTTCGATTTATCGACCGGCGCTTCTGTTGGGTATATAAACGCCAAGCCCATACGCTGGTTTGCTTCTTCATTGAGGTTGATTGGGGTTCACTGACCACGTTGATGGCCTTGTAGACGTCCCAGTCCTCGTCCCGCGCGCCGAACGTGTCGTCCTTGGTGGGCCGCTGGGAGGCCAGCTGGCTGATGATGCGCATGCGCTGCTGGCTGGCAGCCGTGCGGCGACGGGCCATCTCCGCGCGCCGCCGCCGCCTCTCCGCACGCCGCTCCAGCAGCTCCCGGCTGGAACGGCCAGGGATTTGGGAGATGTTAGCGGCAGGAGCATACACATTTACCCATCTAACATAACAGATTCTCGGTGTTTTGTAACCTATAAGTGTTTTGTAGTGTTTTGTAACCTCGGTGTTTTGTAACCTATAGCCGGTAAGTTTTATACTGCAACGCGTTTAATCATTCATAATAGCATATAAAGTATCGTATTCGATGTCCGAACGCCAGTGACTGTCTTCGCAGGCCCTCGGCTGCCGTGTCTGGGGTGACCGCGTCACCGCACCGTCGCTACTCACCGTCTGCCCTCGAGCTCCTCCAGCCGGGCCTGCAGGGCGTCCGGCGACAGCCGCACCGGCGTCACCTGGCCGCGCTCGGCTAGCTCCGCCAGCTTTGTCCGGCCGGCTTCGATCCTCCGCTCAAGCTCTTGCAGATACTCAGGGTCGGTCTCGCCCGACTGACGGGCCCGGGCCAGTCGCCGCTCGTCTTCTGAAATCTGGCGGCCAGATCAGTATGTCAAATTTTAGTCATCACGAGTGCATCTGGCGACAGAAATATAGCATAGTTTCGATGCTTGATTGGCGCACATACCACCAGAAAGCATCGCAGAAAGCTAAGTGGAAAATACAGCAGAAACCAACCTACCAAGGCCTGTCTTTTCTTCATATGCATTTCGTGCATTCTCGCTTTGGCGACGAGTTTCTTGTCCTTGGCCTCCCCGGCCGCTGGCTGTGAAGGACGCGGCTGCTCCGAGCCGGTTGCCATGGTAACCGGCAGCTGAACTGGTCTGGTGTGCTCCTTCTGGTGCGCGGGGTCGGCCCAGAGCCGCAAATCCGAGCCGTAATCGCCGCTGAACAGCACCAGCTCGTGCAGCAGCTCCTGGCGAGCGAGCGGCCCCGGTCAGGTGTGGGTATATGCCAGACAGCTCGTGTCTGCGTTCGTGGTAGTGCTGGGCCGCTGGCACGCTATCGGCGCGACATCGGGCGGGTACGTCACTGGGTCGACAGACAAGTGAATCCGTCAACACGGCTACAAAGCAGGACTCTCATATGAACAGCCAACAGAAACAGCCTATCACCAGCTGAACTGCGGTTCAATGCGCAAAGACGTATCTGCAGGTCTTTGCTTCGGTTCTCTGTACGAAAGCACGCCAAAACAACATCCTAATAAGACATCCACATCAGGCCGGTATTACAATATCAAAAGCCGCAGTTATTCAGTTTGTCAATTCTAGCGCATACCTCAGCGCGGGAGAGTGTGATGGCCGCTAGGGCCGACGGATTTTTTAGCTGCAGAAGGCGCTGTAGGTAGCTGGTCATCAGAAAGCCGCCGACGCCGATCCTGCGAGCATTTCCCGCATCCATCCTGCCGTCTGTCACATGGGCGAACGGGGACAGCGTCAGGCAACCAAGGTCTTAGCGATGTCATCATCAGCGTCCGGAGGCGGTGAAGAACTGTACAATTGGGGAAGAACAAACTACTCAGTCCGCTGAACGGTAACCTTCGGGCCCTTCACAATTATATCACTGGTCGCACGTTGTTAACCTATGAGACTCACGTACATGTCATCTCACGCTCATGTCAAATAGGAGGTAGTAAAAGCAAACCGTGATGCGCGTATCCGTGCAGTGAATGTCGCTGGTTGCACCCTGGGAGACTCACCCAGTACAGGTATGACGTGTGTGGTGTGGTAGCCACAGGAAATGACCAGCGCGTCCCGGCAGTCGGGCTGGTTGTACCGCAGGCTGGCCAGGGCGTCCACGAAGTAGCTGATGGACGGCACCCGGTAACACTCGAACAACAGCTCCGACATGGCTACCGGCGAAACGACCGTATCAAGCACGCTTCGGCGAACAAGCCACACCGTCAGCTGGTACATGTTGAGCAGTTATTCCCGCTGGCAATGTGCGAGGGTACCCTTGTTTTCTAGATACAGGCTCTACAAAGGTCCATGCTCTATAATTAATCGATCACCGATCTTCGATACATAAGTCGGGAGGTGGTGTTGTATTTAGCTGGGAATGAATTGGGATGACGAAGGAATTTATGTCATATCAAAAGGCATATTTGTTGTTAAACATGATCTGGCCCACATATGCGATGAAGACCATAGGGATCATTCTGACGGACACAGGCCGATTGGTGAGTTGCGACTGACCGGCGCGCGAGGAGTTGAGGTTGGCCGGCGGCTCGCTGATGACCATCGGGTGCTGCAGGCCGTCCGGCGTGTTCACCCCCAGGTGCGTCAGCGAGTAGTCCAGCAGCGTCTCCTGCGCCTCGAAGTGCGTCACCACGCCGTGGTCGAACTGCGTCCGCAAGTTCAGCCGCCCGGCCTCCACACTCACGATGTCGTTACCTATCTGCGTTTCCATGTCCTGGCAAAACAGCAGTGGCAGCAGCGTCACAAACGGCGCCAATCTGGTATTCAGTCGAACAACAAAAAAAAAGGATTCCTTGACAATCAAAGTATCTTAAACATCGACTTATTTGGGATAACACGGTCCTTCGTTTTTTCTTCTTCACGAACAGCTCGAGTAAAATGGGACAGATCGTGACACATCGTGACAGATCGTGACAGATCGTGACAGAAAATTGCAGTACCCTCGAGTTAATCAATTAAGCCTTCCCTAACATTTCATGAGTCATCTCGAGATCATGTTTGGCCGGAAATGTGATTCGGCGTATGTCAGCTCACAGTATCTGTGCGTTTCCAGTCTTTTTGTGGTTGCAAACGTTCAAGCATGTGAAATGATGTCCCATGCATTGCGGTTGGTGTCAAGGTCACGTGAAGTACAGGTCAAGGTCATTGACCTTTGATGACCTTGATTCACTTTTACAGTTTTCCATGTTTCTAAGGTAGTTTTTGGAGCTGATTTCGAAGTTAGCACCCAGTGGAACGTTTACTAAGTAATTTCCGTGCCTTCGTAGCATGTAACGAGGCTATCAGTGGTAGTTGACAACTACTATGGATAGCCGGCAGGACCATCCCTGTGGCGATGGTAGCCGACCACCAAGGCAGCCACCATGTCGGCGTCTCGCAGCCGCGACGGGTCGATGTGGACACTACCTGCCAGCCGCGAGTGGGCGCCAGAGAGGGCCGGGAAGCGGAGCAGCACGTGCCCCTGCACATCGGCCTCTTCCCGGCACACGGCGCAGATCGCGGGACACTGCTTGACCGGTCACTGATGGCACGCCTCGGAGGGGATACGGCCGATCCGTTGCAGGTACCTACTGGAGTGGGCAGCCCCAGTGGGCGTGGCCCGCCCTCATCTGGTGCACCGAAACAGCAGCCCCCGGTCCTCTCCGGGGATGGGAAGCGGCAGGGTGCTTCAGAAGATGGGCCTAAATAGTGAATTGGACCAGTTGTCGCGCCACTGACGAGTGGCCGCCCGAGGGACTGCCCGTGTCGGCGAGCGGGCGTCCGAGGGCGCGACGTCCTGGGGCAGGGCAGGGCAGGGCTTGTTTCGCCAGGTCGTCCGCGCGCTGGTTCCCCTCGATCCCGCCCTGGGCGGGGTCTCACTGCAGATTGGTTGGGGTGATTGGTGTGGGCTGGTGTTTATATCCCTGCTTGGTGCACATCATACTCTTCTGTGCTGCTCTTCTCAGCAGTTTGAAGAGGGGGGCTGCTTGATTCTCCATTCTAGGTGTCATTTTTTCTTTTTGTTATTGAAAAACTTGGGTTGTTATTTGGGTTTTTGCCTTTTGGCACTATTGCCTGTCATCAGTGCCAGACATGAACATCCAAACTGTGCAGATCATTATTTAGCCTGCAAGTGCAGGCAGCACAAATTTGGGTTTTGAGATAGCAGCAGCATTGCAGTAACTTGATGGAGGCCCACAAGATTACTTTACTGTTAGTCCCCACATTGGTAGCCCCCACATTGAGCCAACTAATGCAGCTATAAGTCCCAGCCTCAAACTGGTTGAAAGCTAATCCCAAAGAACCCAACCTCTGGTAGGTATCACTAGACTCATTAGATACTCAGGTAAATATACTTGTCATCAGTGAGGGCTGAAGGGTGTAGCCCTCTGGCCTCTAGTAAGGAAAATAAACATTTTTAGCAACAATACCCTGCTTATAAGGATCCAGAACCAAACCACTATAGCCAAAACAATACCTTTTTCATCTTATCCTTCCTGATCTTTGTGATGAGGTTTTTAAAGATCATGGCAGGGTCTTGCTGATTTGTCCAGCCAACCTTGGCTGTGTATGAACCTGTAAACAAAGTACACAAAAATGCTGAATTAGAACTACTTAAATGGTGAGTACCTAAGCAACTACCTAAGCATTCATGCATGTTCCCTTTACTTACTGCATGGAAAAAGAATAGTATTCTGATCCCAAGTGCTCTTGAACTTGAACTGGTGTTCCTTAAACATGCCATCCTTTGTAATGAAAAAAATATGCCTAAATAAAATACCTATGCATTATGTGACCTTTCCTCCATTTTTCTGATGATAATTCTCATGGGCTTGTATTTAATCTTGCAACAGTTTAGTAATGGATGAAAAATGGGCATATCTAGAGTGGACGTCACAAGAAGCTTTTCCAACCAAGGAGAGCCACTGTAGGTTTGTATATATAGCCTTGCTTTGTAAGTTGTAGGTTTGTACATTTGTAGGTTGTAGGTTTAAGAAGCATATACAGGTATAGCGCCTCTCCTTGGTTAGATAACCTACATGTGACGTCTGCCCTACTGAAGCCGAAAATGCACTTCCCAACAAGACATTTGCTTTGCTTAATCATGATCTTACCATTGTCTAAAATCAATGGAACGTCCTTGATATCGTCAGTATAGGCGAACATCTTGTCAGGAGATGGCTTCAGGTCTTTGAAGTGATACGATTCCATTGTAAGCTATATATGAAAGGGGCCGGCGGGGCCAGGAGGAAAGATGAATTGTTTCAATTATTCCTCATTTAACTGCAGAATAATAAAATATGAACACGGAGGAATTTTTCCATATCATACAGCAATTACATCAAAAAAAGGGGGAATTTACCCCCTAATAGACTTTTTCTCAAAAAAATTATGTGCAAATTGAATGTGAGAAACTCGAAACAGCATTTGCATGCGCTAGGCATGCCTTGCATGCGCCAGATTCGCTTGACTTTCAAAACGGAGGCAAGGAAAAATGCTACTACTAAATAAAAGTATATACCTTACACAAGCTTTGAAGTATGAAATTTATTGTAAAATAAATCAGCCTTTACTAAAAACATAAAATCTTCCTATCAAAGTTTCTGAACAGAATACTCTCAAAAGATTCGCATAAAATATAACCGTTTCTTCGTAAACATTTATCAGCAACCATTCAATCAATCAAACATTCCGACTTCATTCAGGGATTCTGGTAAAAACGGTTCCTTTGTTATGACTCATTGGGTATTATTTGAAAAAAAAATTCGAAGCTTGAAAAATGAGAATCCAACAAGCACGACATACCTTAGAATCACAGCATTTACCTAATCCTCTAAAAAGGACTGTAGTTTAACGATACTAATGACCCTCAATATCAAATCCTTGTTCGTGTCAGATCGGCCGTGTGAGTGGCGCAATGCGACTTATGGAAGGTGCGCTTTTGTAAAGAGAAAAAAGGGATATGCACATTGTGGAGGACAATATCCACGTAGAAAGCTGATATTGTAAACTTATGATTATTTGGAAGAAGGTTCGCATGTTGTTTTTAGTGCGTGCTTGAAGATCATCAAAATATCGTTGGCATAGAAGGGATCACACAAGCATTCATGATGAGTAAGTACCTATCTGTTTTCTATGTTTTATGCTCATTTTTTCCATGGTGAACATTGTTGGTAATTGCTTGTTAATATTTGTTGATTCAAATATTTTTGTTTTTAATTCTGTGACTGTCAATAAGTTTATTTGGTTGTCGTATGTCTGAAGTTGTGATATTCAAACAGCTGTCTCCAAATCATAAGAGCTATCAAGATCATGCTTGTGTGTTAGTATTGAATTTCATGAATCATTAAGCTTTAGGTTACATGGTTTCCAAACACAATAGTCCAGAGGCCACTACATCAGCAGAAAAAATGCAGACTTAGGCCAAGCTATAAGTCGCTTTGGATCACCTTCACATTTAGCGGCTACAAATAGTAACCACCGATGTGAGAAACAACCACTCATTTTTCCATTTGGACAAATTTTGTCTTAATAAACTTTCAGCCTTCCCAACTGGTCTGTGGCTATTTTTCATCGGCTGTTTTCTCATGGCTGTTTGAACTTGAGGGACTCTTAAGGCATTAAAGGTGAAGGCAGCTGGTTATTCTTCTTTTGGTTAAATTGACTTCAGTAGAAAATAATGTGGAGCATGTTTGTGTGCTTACTTACATTATATTTACATAAAGCATTGCAAAATGCTGAATAGGAACTCTTGATTTTTTACAATACACTACACATTAGGGCGGGTCATCCGAGAACTTTTTTTCGAGGACACAAAATGAAGACCGAAATTCCTACGGAGCATGTCACAAGAAGACTGTGTGATTTTTTTTCATTTTTTTGGTTGAGGTTGCGGGTCGCCGCAGCCAATTAATCAACCGGGTTTTTCGCTACATTTTCACTGCACGCGAGTTTTGAGCACAAATATCATATAATAAATTATTTTCAAATATATACCTCGAAACTTCAGCTATTCCTCAACCTATTCTGTAAGTCTGTTGGCTGTATCTCTCTAGCTGTGGCCATGGTGCCATGCTCTCTGTATCGGTTTTCCGCAACTCGATTGCAGCGCCATCTCTTGAGAGGACTGTTAACCTGCGTCGGTCGAGACAATATGCATTCTGCTGATGCGATCTTAGGACGCTGATGAAAAAACGTGAGGCACAGGAGCGTATATAGCGTGAAAGCTGTCAATTGCAATTAAATTAGCCATGAAATTTACATATTAGGGGTTCACCTGACTTTAGCACAGCCATTATTCGCCAAGTGCGATAGTGTCCGCTGGACCTATTAGTCATTTAATTCTGCGCTGAGACTTCAGCAGCATTATTTTCAGTTTTGGCTTCGATTATTTTCTTGCATGTAAATTTAACCTTTTGTTAATGCAAACCTAGTGTTAGAACTGAACAGTAGCAGCTCAATTGCAGAATAAGTACTAAGTTAGCCCGGCTTCATCTGACAGCAGACTGAGGATGAGTTGCGAGGTATCCTGCTGATCGGCGATCCGCGTATCATATCACTGCCCGAGTCGCGCGTTCTCATCGGACCATCAGAGCCCATTTTGATGACCTATTGGGGCTGGGCCACCGCAACAAGCAGTGGAGCATCGAGCTTTGAGGGAAACTGACCTCATAATAACCGCAGTAGTAGCTGCTAAGCGGTCGCCGGCGCAATTTGTGATCCCAATCATGTGACATTGTTGCAGTTAGTGGAAAGGAGCCTCCATGTCGAAACGGAACTAATGCCGCGTGGTGGTCCTCGGTGACACTTCACATTCTGTTCTCGGATAGGCAAGTGATTACAAAGGAAATGCCCTTCTGCATTTTACGTTCATAAGGATGCGTCGTTTATCATGATAAATAGGATAGCCGTGCTGGATCATCGGCTAGGACGAGCCTGCTGGACGAGCATATTGCTTCAGTAAATGAGCCGGTAGTCAGTGCTTATTCTATTTTACACCAAAATCAGACAAGGGCCAAATTATTAAACAAGTTTACAAGACTTGTGGAAAAGCCACTGGACTAAAGCCGCGCCGATCAGTGGACCATTTACTAAGAGTGCCTGTGCATCGAGCAGGAACCGTTCGTGCCGTTTCGGGCAACGCCATGCAGTCCAGATCAGAGAACACTTCTGAACAGCCCGGAAGCAGACGTCACCTCTTGACAAATCCTGAGGTAGCTGTCAGTAAGGAAGCTTGAGCCCTTGAATTTGGTAAAATGGCTTACGTTGGCAGCTTGCAAGTTACGTATTCCGTCGCGATCGCCCATCATGCAACATATATTGACCAGCTTCGAACTATCACCGAGTTCAATGTTGTTCACTATGTCCCAATGTGGTCCGAAATTACGGAGTACATTGCAGAGACGGATTACTCCAAAGCATCCCGCTATTGCGAGACCTCTCAGCTCATCGGTCTGTGTCATTTGCCCAGTGATCGACAGGAATAAGTACCGGGCTCACTCTAGGAAACTTTTTTGGACTGCCACTAGCCGATACAGACAGCCAGCAAACAGTGCATACGCTGCGATGCTTGCTGAACTAAGGAATGGTGATAAAAAGACTCGAGACACTTACGGCAAAAAAGTATAGGAAGTGAATGAGGCAGGAGACAAAGATATGTGATTCTATCAGCATTTTGCAATAAACAAGTCATGCACTACATGCAGCTCATAGATCGGTCCAAAAAACGCGTTACAGAGTCACCAATAGCAATCTCGCTGGAAGAGGGTGACCTTCGACCCGCTGCTTAGCAAATTAATTTCGATCCGGTGCATACCCATACTCACTACTCAGGCAGTGGAGCGAGCCGTCCGGCTCCTAACTTAGGCAGCATACGCTGTTGTTATTAAGAGAGCACGTCTCAGTTACATTATGTGTGCCATCAGGACGCAATGCAGCGCTCTCATGCCGGCGTTTGAATCAATTATCGAAGTGTGATTTTCTGTCCTAGGACGGTAAGGTGGCTGGCTACATTGTATTAAAAAATGAACATACGGTTTGGACTGATGTTATCTGTCTGCAAAACTTAATTTAACTGATAAACATATATCAAAGTTAAGCATCTCGCTGTTTTCTTGGCGAAATCACTATAGGTATAGCTTCCGGAGCAACTTAGTATATGGATCAAATGGGTACAACTCACCTAGCGTCAAATAAGGAACACCAGACACTTAGGAACACCAAAGAACACCATATACCCGACGTGGCAGCGGCAATATACCCTGGCAGCGGCTGCGTCAGCTTTTAACGGTCGGAAAGCCGTCAAAACCAATGTTATGCCAAACTCGCTCAATAGATGGCGCTGGTTTCGTTGCGCTCAGATCGCCGATGCTAATCGCTATTCTGAGCACGATTCTGCCACTGGGGTTTCCAAACTTTCTGAAGAGGTGGGGGTAAGCATGTAGAACTAGGAAAGTGGTAAATATAGTATCTTTCTCGATTTTTTCCTACTAAATTTTGCAAACAACGAGAAAAATTAGCAAAAGTGGTCTCGAAAAACCGTGTACGGCGCGCCCAGTTCCTTTTCAAAAATTCGCAAAAAATATGTTTTAACCGTTTTATGGATCAGCCCGTAGGAAAATCGCTCTTCACTTGAAAACTTTTTTCATCGACCCGCCCTACTACACATGCATCAGATTTTAGTCATCCCTGGCCTTTTGCCAGTGGCATATTATCTGTAAAAACCAATAAAACTTCTTTTTTGGTCCATCAGCATTAAAAAAGTCCAAAGACAACATGTTTGGGGTAGTTTTGATAAAAAGTTTTGTGCTTGAAATATTACAGTCAGTTACCTTACTTTTGATGTAACTTCTGTCAGATAGCTTATAGCATAAAAACATAATTAAAGCCAACATAATAGCTACATACCTGGTGCAAGGTAGCAGGTAATTGAATCAAAGAATGTTGCCTTGTGTATAATTACTGTGTACTCTCTAAAAATGCATTAACCCATGTCCTGCTGGGGGCGAGGGGGGGGTTGAGCACCCCCTCCCCCTGTGGTTTTTGGCACACCTTATCAGACATCATTTCTACACATGTTGTGAAAATTTCAGACCAAGGTCATTGAAGGTCAAGTCACCAGGTCACTTCAAGTGACCTCACCTCATAAAAAGTTGCAATGTCTGCTATAGCTACACCGAGTGACCGATCGCTTTGAAACTTTCAGCGATTGCTAAGAGCAATAGCACGTACAAAATATTTATCTCAGAATTTTGAAATGGATGACCTAAGGTCAGGTCAATTTTGCAACCTCCCCATTATAAGTCAATGGGAGAATACTGAGATGTGCCACTATTGGACAAAAGTCATTATAAACACTCCCAAACACTGCATTACAAGTAACTTAGACACACTGAACACAAAAATGGTGTCCGTGACCCCTGTTTATGCCCCTGTGGTCATCTCAGGTCACAAATGGTATCTAACAGTTTTTCGCAAATAACCTTTGATGAAGGCATGCTAGAGCGATGAAAACGCCTTAGATGTGTTCAGCTCGACGATACGAATCGACTGATATGCAACATGACCATTTTCGGTCAGGTCATGACCTTGACCTGAGGTCAAATTTTCAAGTTGACCTTTCAAGGTCAGGTTAAAGTTCATTCGATGCGTTTTGACGAGACGAACACGATGCCGGTAAAAGTAACCTCGTACAAGGCTTGGGTCAAAAGTTATTGCAGAAAATTTTCCGAAAGAAATTGTCTATTTTGGCAGTTTTTGCCCCTGCAGGCAAAACCGTTACGTTAGGTCAAATCTGAGACAATTACCCAGAAAGGGCGTTAATAGGGCTATCGAATGCGCTTGCGGCGCTGTAGCTCTATCGGTTTCCGAGTTATGCGTTGGCTTCTTGGAAATTGTCGGCATTCGACCTGAAATTCGGCGAAATTTTGCCTACAATGACCTCTGGTGACCCGACCTTTTACTTAATCAAAAAAGTGACCGAAGTGATTTCGTCAATATTTTGGTGCTCTCCCGAATGCTGTCTTCCGCGTATTCCTTCTTCTTCTTCTTCTGTTGTCCGGCGATTCCGGCGGGCCGATCATCGAGCCTCCGGCAGGAGGCCAGTCCTCCTGAAGAACCTCAGCACCGCGTCCGGGTCCTCTTGTAGCACCGTCAGTGTCGGGGTGTGGCCGAGGAGCGCAGACCGCGCCGCCTGGTATTTAGGGCATTCACAGACCACGTGTTCCGTGTCCTCCGGCACGCCACACTCGGGACACAGGCCGTCGGTGTCCGGCCTGTTCCATCTGGCTAGTGTGGCTTGGAGTAGTGGACAGCGGTTCGCTCGCAGCTGATGGAGCAGAACCTGATCCCGTCTGGCCCATTCACTCTCATACTTCAGGCAGCGCCCGTCCGTCGCTCTCCGGTGTGCGTGCTCCGGGGGCACGGTGGTGTGGTACGTGCCAGACCATTTCTTCCAGCACACACCACGGATGGCCACTTTCGCCGACGGGAGGTCGATCTTGGCCGTTTCTTGAGGGAGGGTCCTTCCGGTGTTTGCTGCCTGGTCTGCCTGCTCATTTCCCGCGATGTCTGCGTGGCCAGGGATCCAGACGATTTGTACGTTCACTTTTCTGCGACTGAGATGGTTCAGGCCTGTCCATATCTCGGTAAGGGTTTCTGGGGCGGGCCCTCTGGTACCATGTTTGAGGAAGGTTACCAGTGAGAGTGAGTCGGTGCACAGGCGGGTCGTCTTGACTTCCTTTGGGGCTCCCGCTGCGTCCCTCACAGCTGCCAGGAAAGCCACTTGCTCGGCCCGGTACGAGCTTGACCACTTGCCGGCCGGTACGCTCCAGGTCGCGTTGCCTCGGCCTTGCTCGAAGCGGACAACTCCCCCTCCGCCAACTCCAAACCCCTTCTCCGTGGAACCGTCAGTGTAGTAAGTTGAGTCCGTGGGCGGCAGGGATTCCAGGACGCGCTCCGCTGCCGCTCGCCTTCTTTCCGGTGGGTCGTGCCTGGAGGTGGTGTCACCAGATTCCGTGTGGAAGCTGATCCTGTGACCGCGTGTGGAAGCTGACCGCGTATTCCTACGTGGCCCAGGAGTGCTACTAAATTTTTAAGCTCGGCTTTCAATGTCAACTTATTGTTCATTCGACGCGTCTTGACGAGAGGAACACAATGCCGGTGAAAGTAAGCTTTTGCAAGTTTTGAGTCAAAAGTTATCGCGGAATAAAACGTTTCTGCGACTATCATCTATTTAACACCTTTTCCCCTGCAGGCAAAACGGTTGACCTTAGGTCAAATCTGAAGACAGAATAATACAGAACGAGCGTTAACAGGGCTATCAACTACGCTTTTCTGAGGCGATGCAGCTCTCTCCGTTTTCAAGTTATGTGCCGGTATGTCGAAAATTGTCGAAATATGCGAAATTTGGCCTTTGGTGACCTCTGGTGACCTGAAATTGGACCTGACCTCAGAATGACTGAAACAATTTCTTCATACGCCGCCTACCGCGTGTCGGTATGTGGCTCAGAAGGCGAGCTAGAAGGGGAGGGGTGTTAAATACATCATACGTCCCCCCCCAGCGTTACGTAGAAATCTAGGAGCCCCAGTGGGCAGTAGCGGCGGAACACCTTCAATTAAGGGGGGGGGGGCACTGCCGACTTTTGGTCCCATTCTTTCCCTGCAACGTCCATAGGGCTAATGTTAAAATGCCAAAATCGAAGGGGGCACGGTGCCCCTGTACCCTCCCCGTTCCGCCGCCTATGCCAGTGGGGCGCGGTTCAATAGGGCAGTCATAATTGATTTAGATGGGAGTTGCTGATCCGGGTGTGTTTGTTTCAGGTGCAGGAGTCGGAGTGTTTGATATGGAGCTCCATGAGTCCGACACCAGGGATCAGGTGTCCGACGACGATGACATTATTGATGTCGAACAGGCAAGTTGGAGTTGGATCATCTAACAACATAAGTTGGATGAGTCTTCCTCCCCTAACCTAACTTTCTGCTCAAATGTTAATTTTGTTCTGCCTAGCTTCAAACTCCCTGAAGTTGTCTCGTTTCACAGTCTATATTTTTGTTTTTGTTTTTACCACGGAAAAGTTACATTATTTGCCTCTGATGCATGCACTGATGATATTGGAATTCAGGTCAGTGGGTCATTTTACAATCACAGCATAAACCTGGCAGGACAACAATTTTCCACAAACGTCCAGGCCGAGGGGACTGGCACGACCCCTGCGCCGTTTCACCACTTATTGAGCTAGAACTATGCGAAAAAAAATAGCATGTGCGCCGTAATGAGACTCGTTCCGCGCTCTGCCGGGGGGAGGGGTGAACACTCCCTTTTAACTCGGCTCCTGGGCGACGTAGCGACACGCAGTAGGTGGGATTTGAAAGAGCGTAAAAATAGACCAAATAACTTCGGTCAATTTTCAGGTCAGGTGAGAGGTCAGGCCACCAGGGGTAATCGAAGGTCAAATTTCGCTTATATCGATAGTTTTCGACAAATCGGCGCATAACTTGGAAATGATTAGAGCTACAGCGCTGCAGAAAAATGCATTTGACGGCCCTTTTAACGTTCTTTGTGAGTAATTCCCTCAGCTTTGACTTAAGGTTAACGGTTTAGTCTGCAGAAGACAAAAACTGCGAAAATGGTCGTTTTTATGCGGAAACGTTTTTTTTTTCTGCAATAGCTTTTGACTCGAAACTTGTACGAGCCTACCTTTGCCGGCTATGTGTTCCTCTCGTTGAGACACGTCGAATGCACTATGATTTGACCTTGAAAGGTCAACTTGAAATTTGACCTCAGGTCTAGGTCATCGCCTGACCGGAAAAGATCTACCGTCGAGCTGAACACATAAGAGATGTTCACCGCTCTGGCATGCCTCTATCAAAATTTATTAGCGAAAACTGTTGGATACCTTTCATGACCTGAGATGACCGCAGGGGCATAAAGAGGGGTTTCGAGTGCTATCATTTGATTCGGTACTTTATTTTGATCCGTAACCAGATGTTTGGGAGTGCTTAGTATGGAGTTCGTCCAAAAGAGGCGCATTTCAACTTATCCCATTGACTTTAATGGAGAGGTCGTCAAATTGAACTCACCTGAGGTCACCGACATCGAAATTCCAAGATATACATTTCATGTGCATTGCATATCGTTGCTCTTATCAATCGCTGAAAGTGTCAAATTGATTCGTCACTCGGTGCAGCTGAGGCAAAAATTTTAACTTTTTCTTAAGTGAGGTCTATTGACGTGCCCTGGTGACCTGACCGTGGGAGGTCTGGGTATGAAATGTTCATTACGAGGGAGCGGAGCGAGCGAACTCTTACGAAGAGTAGCAGAAACTTCTGAGAATGAGCGGCCGGCCGTGATCACGCTTTTTCGATGGTTACCTATATCTCCGCAACTACTAAACTGAGTTACTGGCAGTAATTTTGGTAGGGTAGCTTCTAGTGATGTCAATTACAGAAAATCCGAATACCGATACCAAACCAAATACCAACCAAAACCACGGAAAAATACCGAAACCAAACCAACTTGGGAAACTGAGGGAAATACCAACTTTTTACCGATTTCTTAGCCTCTTATACATTAGTGAGGGTTTATGATACCAACAAAATACCAAACACATTACGATTGAAATACCAAATACCAAGTTGGTATCGGTTTGGTATCGGTATACCAAAAAGTTGGTATCCGATTGACATCTCTAGTAGCTTCATTCCTTCTACCAAGTATTGGACTATTCCCGATGCATGTGGGTGACCCCTTATGCACGTGTCACGCGCAAAACGAAGGGGTGTCAGTTTGGTAACAAAAACAATTGCAATATCTCGGTTATTACTGGGCCGATTGCGCTAAAACTTTGCATGTATGTAGGTAGGCACTCACCAGGCAATGCATTCCCATCTTTCACGCTTGGGGTGGTGCTGAACGTGCGCACATGCAGGGTTCGCTTTCATATCTCAAGAACGGCTGAACCGATTGCGCTCAAATTTGGTACACGGCGGAGGACCGTTTAGTAGGGTGCCGTGCAAAAGTCGTTTGGGACACAGCTGGCACGTGCGCACGTGCAGGGTGCCGTTTCCAGATCTCGAGAACGGCTGAGCCGATTGCCCCCAAATTTGGCACATCGCTAGAGACAGGTTATTAGGGTGCCGTGCACAAGACAGTTGGAAGTGCCCCCAGCCCCTCACAATTCCGCACGTGCAAGGCTCACCCTCTCGCTCGCTCGTTTGTCGCCCTGAAAGGCATCTTACTGGTAACCTATGCAGAAAAGATGCAGAAATGCGTAGGTATGCAGAAAAGTTTTGCCGAAACACCCCCTTCCCTGGGAAAAGACAATCGATCTTTACGGCTGCGTTCAATCGCTGTCGACTCACTATGCAATTTTGCCTTCCCTCAATATATCTGACGATATAATTTCCATTTCAGGAGTTCGACCACCAGCCCGACATGAACGCCTTTCTGAAGTAAGTGCATGCGGTGCTGCCCGTTAAAACCGTTATCCCACGTCAGACTAGTGTGAGCTTTTCCTGTTTTTTTTTTTAAATAAATTAAACGACTTACTGATATCATTGGGTTTGTTTCGATCGGACACATCGATGCGTTTTTTTAGGAAATTGAATGTCAAATAGGTAATAATAGTTCATGTTCATATTCTAAAATGTTGATTTGATTGGGCATCGCTAGGCTCAACATCTGTCGGAGCATCTGTAAAGCTGTTTTCGTTGTCGTTCCATAGTTCCAAACGGAACTTTTTCGCCGTACGGCTACGATAAACGTTTTGTATCAGCATGTGCTGCTTTCATATCCCTACCAACATGTGCAGCTTTTCGGGAAAAGGTGTTCTTGAGGTACGATATCTGACATCTCACACCGCGGCTGGTGCCTCTAGCTGTGTCATGTGTGTCGCGTGCCACGTGCCTGGTGTGTGGGTCAGCCATGGCACCGGCTCGCGTAACGGCAGTGTTTACGGAGCTGGGCCGTAGTGTTCCATCATAGACTCCCATAGCTGCATTGCGCAGATGGTCGGCACGCCACTATCTGCTGCACTGTTATGTCTTTTTATTATTTTAACATGCAAGTCGCAGCTTCACTCTCATGACTTTTGTTTATAATTTCACTTGCCGTGAATACATGATTTTCGGTGCATTTACTAGGAAATTATCCGTTAGATAACTGTCCGATAAGTCAAATTTTGTCCCGTTTCAGTCAAGAAGGCGTAGAGCGATTGGCCCTGAACGAGAGCACCGTCAATATCGGCAAGGAGCGGGTCGGCCCCAAAGATTTCGAGCTTCGCAAAGTCCTGGGAAAGGGCGGCTATGGCAAGGTTTTCCAGGTGAAGAAGATTAGTGGCAAATATGTCGGAAAGGTGTTCGCTATGAAGGTGCTGAAGAAGGCGACAATCGTTCGGAATCAAAAGGACACGGCGCACACAAAGGCGGAGCGAAACATCCTAGAAGCAGTCAAGGTAAGATGCTGTCTCTGCGATGTCTGACCGCGCCGGATAAGCTCACGGCCGCTGGGGAGAGGTATTGTCCATCCCTGTGCTTGTCCCCGCCCCTATGATTGGCGCAGGGAGTGGGGAAGTCGGTTAAAGGCGAACTCCGTGGATGTGTCCAAAAGCGGAGATCATTTTCTTATTGCGTAACTTTTTCTTCGATTATTACGCACAACGTGGCGTGTAAGCATTAAGTTTCGTTGTTATTGTTTTATGCTGTTCATTTGCCCCTTGAATTTGAGTTTATTTATTCGGAATACTTTAAAAAAGTGGATCCAGTGCCCAGAATTGTCGCCAATCAAAGCTTGTTGTTCTGGTCTCCACCTTCCCTATCGATATAATGATGCGATTTGTGAATGCGTCAGTGAATACAGCCGTCATGTGAATACAGCCGAGCGTTGAGCGTACGAGTATACGCGTATCCGAACGCGGCCCGTCCCGAATTCATCTCGCCCGCGACGCCGTCACCGAACAGTATCACTGACCGCTGCGGCAGCTATCCTCGTGTGCAACGCTGTCCGGATTTGGTTTGGAATGGACACAGCAGTTATTTTTACGATCGTTATGGAGCTGGTAGTGCCTTTTTACACGTAAAGCGTAATATTCTTAGACTCGTTGTTTCTTCACGCATTGCTACGATATGAATTACTCGTTTTTACAAGTTACATAATTTCTATGACGTCCGTAGTCCGTACAACACTTTTTTCGTCTTGATTTTCGTCTTGGTCTGTAACAGATGCCGCTATTGGAGACAGACATCTGACACTGCAGAGAAGTGCACTATTTCGTGTGAATAGTGTGATAAAATTTTGAAATTATTTTCGCGAACGTTTATAGGCCGACTTGGTCCAGCTGTACATAACCCCTGTCTCCGCACTGCTCTCTTTCGACTGGCCCTCAGTGCCATCACGGGCCGTCCGGCTGCCCTGCTGACCTTGGCACAGATCGGCCCGTGTTTATGAATATGTCCAACACATCATGTCCGACCGCCGGCTGGTGGGCCGCTCACCAATTCAGCGCGCATGTACTGGAAATGCTCATATGCCGGCATGTTAGTGTGGCCGGCATTCGGGCCGCGTTCTGGATAGAAGGGGATAATACGTCTGGCCGCAAACATTTACATATCCTCTCGAGCTTGCTATCCCATGATCAATTTACGAGTATACACTATACAGTATACACCGACATAGCAGGAAAGAAGTGTACCACAGTCCACAACACTAGCACAGTCGACTCATAACAGTGGCAGGATGTCGTCCCTCACTCGTCAGTAGCCGCCACGCTCGGCTCGAGCCATCACGCATCACGCCCATTGTTTTCTAGTATACAGTGATAACGTCACTGGAAACAAGATGAATTCTGTAACCACTAGCGGCTGGGGGGGGGGGGGGGGGGCAGGGAGATCTAGGGCAAATGCCACACCCCTCAACGCCCAAAGTCGACGAAAATTTACGTATGTATAGAATACAAGGTAAAGTACACAACTTTTATGGGGAAGAGTTTGCTTTAAACTGCACAGCAGCGCATAAGGAATCGAAATCCGAGGAGCTTTTTTTAATTGGTGAAGCTTTTTTGGGTTGTGCACACTCCCCCTCCCTCTTGCAGTGTTCGAGACCGCCTTTCTGGCTCCGCCAGTGTATGTAACGATGTATTGTTCTTGCAGGGTTCTTATTTCTGTTCAATTTTCCCACTTACCCGAGTCGATATATCTTCACCAATCAGTATTAACAATTCGTAAATGCACGTTAGATAACAAGATGTTATTCGGTACCACTGCCGGCTGACTTTATGTGCTAATTTATTTTTTTTAAATACTAGTAATAAAAGACTGCATATGATTTAAGTCTACCTTATTCTCACAGTGTATGATTGCAAAGATAAAGGAAAACAAAGTAGGTTTAAAGACGTCGAGAAAAGCGTAACAAAACTTTGAAAACGTGAGCGTACCAGCTATAAACTGTGTGGTCGGTCAGCTACGCCCCTGACGCTTCCTGACCGTGTATTTTGTCGTCAGTTTTTCATCCACGGGCGCCCTCTGCCGTTCACAGCACCCGTTTATCGTGGACCTGATGTACGCGTTCCAAACGGGCGGCAAGCTCTACCTGATCCTGGAGTACCTGTCCGGCGGAGAGCTGTTCATGCACCTGGAGCGAGAGGGCATCTTCATGGAGGACACGGCCAGCTTCTACTTATCCGAGATTATCCTGGCGCTAGAGCACCTTCACCTGCAGGGCATCATATACAGGTGAGAGCATCGTCGGCGCAACTGGTCTCGGCCCCGTCGTAGCCATGTTTTTAATGACTTGCACTTATGCATTACAGACTCTGCAATGTTTCATTTGTTTACCGTGTTTCACTTCACTCCATTCAGCATGAAGTTTGAGTGTGAATTCGTGTCAAGAAGTTATAGTGTTCCATTTTTCAGACTTTTTGGTGGCAAATCACACCTAATGGCGAAAATATTTTCATCCCTAAAATATGAATGACCGACTTTACTTCATCTCTGAAAAAAAATTCATGTATTCCCAACAGCCAGTTTACATGTCACTTGACAGTTGATGCACCCACATCCTTTTGTTTCACACCCTGTTAAGATCCTGACATGAAATCCTGGTTTATCAGTTGGTATAAAAATTGGCATTACACCATTTTGCAAAAATACTTCAGTTATTTGCTTCCTTTTTTTCTCATCCTAGGATTTTTTTCTTCATCGGCACACCCAATCAATATCCAATTTTAGAACACTGTAACCAAATGTAATGTGATGCACCAACTACAATTGCAAACTTGGCACATATTTCTGCAAGGAGCTTATTATGTAAAATATTCCAATCTATTCTAGTAATTTCCTTCAACAGTGCATAGTTCGAACTCTGGATAGTTTGGTGAGTTTGTGACGTGATGCCGGCTCCTTCCGCTCTGGGGTCACTGAGGAACACTCGACCAACTCCACACGCGTTACCGGGGCGGTGCAGTTGATCTATCAAAGTGCGCAGAGTATGATCGGTCACGGATGAGATAGGGATCATCGGTGGCGCACTCCAGCCTGAATATGGTATGATAATGACATCGCGGTGAGCTCATCGAGTGCCACCCACAACAGTCTGCGGAACTGTGTCGATCGATGGGGCGGCCCGCCCTGATATTCCGCGACAACACGGCCCACACGACACATGTGTATCTAAAGACGGCCTCTGACGGTGCACTCTTCCTAATTCCTATACAGATAAGCGGTATCTCACAATGGCTTGACAAGGTGTTGTCTAGTTTATCGGGATGTCCGGTGCCGCGCTATGAATTCATATCAGCTCTGTGTAGCACCACCGTAACGGTCGTTGCACACAATGCAGCGCCTGCCCTAGGCACTGAACCGACGCGTGCTTATTTCAAGCCACTACGGCGGGCGCCGTATCGCCTAGCACATCACTGGTGAAGAAAGTGTGTTTTGGAGCGTTTCAGAGTCGATGCAGATGAAAACTGCACTGATTTCAGGTGCTCAAATCTCACGCCCTTTAATATGATGAATAATTCGGCTGAGAATGCCCCAGAGTGAACTCCCTATCCAGTTTTGGATCCTGTCTGTTTCCATCTTCTCTTTCGTAGCATGCTACCTAAAATATGGTCTGAATGGATATGTACTGAAAATTACGCTCGTTCTGATATGAAGAGATGTCATCTGCTGTTTCCTCAGCTGGATGAGAACACGCATGAACTGAGGATATCACACACAAAAGACATCGGTAAAGTGCACGGGCTCAGTCAGTGACGTTTGTGGCAGTTCCCTGTAAATGATTGGCCCCAGGGCGGCTGTGGGCCGATTGGTTATCTGGCCTGGCGACTATCGGTCGCACTGCGCGCGGCTGCTGCCGAGGCCATTCGCCGGTCCGGCGGCACTGCACCAGCTCCGATCGCGCGGAGCTCTCCGCTCTGATAGAGCCGAAAGAGCTATACGTTCTGATGGAGCCGTCAGAGGTGGCATGCTTCAATGCCGTGTTCTTCTTCCTTCTTTTCTTTTCGTCAGATTTGAGTGTCGTTTGTATGTATAACGTTTGTTAATCTTCCTACGTAAATGATAGCGACTATCGGCGTCGGTTACTGAAATTTTTGCAAATATCCTTGGCTCTTTCCATTCTGTCAATGTTTGGTTTACGCTACCAAATAAAAGTCGCAACCCTGCCCCGTGTCCCGCTGCACCGATTGGCGATTCCCTCCGGTCTTGTCTGCACACTGCACCGTTCCACTCGCCCGGTCTCGCGATGTCCAGAGCTGCGATCACCAGAGACAGCATTGTATTGGACAGACGGCCGGGATCGCGCGCTCGGCCTCCACAGTGGACACGCCTCACAACATAAACACGGACTCCCTCCTGGACGTCGCCATTCTCGCCTGGCGCACCGCCGCTCAATCAGTCTCTGAGGCGACAGTGGGGAGCCGCGCCCTCGCTGGATGGAAACGGACCAGCCCAAAGACAGCGCATAGTCAGACCCAGCATAGAGAGCGAGTGAGGAGTCGCGGTGGTGCACGGGCCAGTCGTTGACATCGGACTAGTTAACAGGCTGCCCAGAACGTAACAAGACTGCGCTGCTCGTGTCGCACAGCCAGCAGGCGTATATCAAAGTTCAGAACAGACTCGGAACACAGTCGACTCGTAGGAATGATAGACTATAAAATGCAATGCAACGCAACAGCAGACACGAGACCGCCATTGTCGACCCGCTAGAACCACCTAGCCGCGCACAGCGCATCGCGAGAGGACAGGCCAGCTGCCTCCGCCTGTGGGTCAACACATATGGCACCTGCCCACCTGTACCGACTGATCCGCGCTCAAACACACACGCTCACAGGCTAACGCATTGCACACTCACACCAGCCCATTGCAGCCGACTTTCGGTCCCTTTCATCCGCAACTGTCGCTCCCGCACTCAAAACACTCATTCACCTGTGGCTGCAGCTGTGGTAAATAGATACATTTCAGCTTCTTACAGCCACGGTTCTCACTGCCTGCAACTAAAACTCTCACTACCATCTAGCCGCACCTTTCATTCCATTTCACCCATAATTCAGTTTCCTGCAGCCACAGTTCAGTCCCCTGTAGTTACAGTTATGAGTCCGTCCTAGCCGCGGCTCTCTTTTCCTGTAGCGGCAGCACTATCGGTACTTTTTAGTCACTCCTTCGGTCCCTGCAGCCACAGCTTTCATGCTCTTGTAGTCACTTTTCAGCCCACTTAAGCCATAGCTATTAGTTAATTGCAGACACACTTCAGTTTTCTGCAGCCACGGCTTTCACTTTTCATCTCAGTTGGTTCACTTCTAACTCACCCAGCTGGTGCCTCTTCACCACATTTATGCCACAGCACCACCAATCACTACGCTGCATCGCCTCCACCGAATCACCACTGCTCTCATATGTGCCGGGTGTGCGTTAGACCGAGTTGCCGTATCAGGTCGACTGTCAGTCCTGTTCTACTTGTTTTCGATGAGGGTTTGCAGCTGTGTGACGAGATCTCGTGCCATACTCAGCACGGCCTTTGCGTCATGCCGTTCGGCCATCTCGTTGAAGAATTTGATGATGTCTGTGAAGTCCATGTTGTTGTCGAGGATGATGTCACGGTAGTACTCGACCAGTGCCAGTGCGATAAACAGCACGAAGTGTGGCGACACCAGCCTGCTCGCCGACCATATGGTCTCCCATGCCAGGAACACATCAGCGTACACCAGTTCGCGTTTGAAGTCCAGCAGGAACCAGCGGTAGCAGAAGTAGAAGTGTGTGTAGTCGCCGTTCTGGTGCATCAGCTCGAACATTTCGCTGTCCATGACCTGGATGAGGCTGCGCATGTTGGCCAGGTGCTGGTCCATGGCTCCACCCTGAGGAAAGTTGGCGCTCATTCGCTCCATCAGCTGACAGAAGCAGCTGTAGGCGATTGGCTCATCCTCCAGTACGACCAGCAGCGGCGCCGCCAGGTCGCACATACCCTGCATGTAGCCCGTGTCAAGGCGCTCCCAGACATATGTGCACATTATGTTGCGCAACTTGTCGAGGTTTTCATTCGTGAAGAACCAGTAGTTGCGGTCACAGCGCTGCACATCCTTCTCAATGCGGTGCAGGTTTAGCGCGAAGGCGTCGAGAAGCTCGTTGGCGTACACACCTCCATTGCTGCTGACCGGCGATCCACAACCCGACCCAGGCTCTCCAACGGCGTCGTCGACACGCAGGTGCTCCGAGGACTCGCCGACCTCGACCTCAGGCTCCTGCGGTGTCGCCTCCGGCGCCTCCTCTGCCTCCTCCGGTTCGGTGATAGACGGAGGACGCTGCTCCTTCTCAGGCTCTGGCTCCGACTCTGGTTCCGGCACTGTTTCCATGGGCGTGGCTGCGTCTCCATCGGTGGCACCGTCGTTCACCACACTGTTTTGCGAACAGCGAGCCATGTTGGTGGCCGCCAGCTCTCGGTCCCGTTGGCGCACGATCGCTTCCACAGCTAACCACTCGGACATGATGCTCTCATAGTCGTGGCGCAGTGTTTCGTCCTGCGTTTCCCGCTCGGCTGGTGTCGAATCGAATGCGTAGTGTCCGAGCAGGAAGGGCCATATGTGGCGGCGGCGCTCAGGCTCCACACCACCGAAGTAGACGTGCCGAAAGACCTCGTCTGGGTTGTGCCAGGAGCCGTCCGCGCCCCAGGCGTCCCACAGAGCGCCTGTTAGGCCGCAGGTGGCGTCAGTTGGCTGCTGGGGCGACACCAGGTTAGCGCTCACCAGTCCTGCCAGGTGTGTGCGCACCGTGCGCAGGTGACGGCAGTGCGCCATCCAGCCGTAGAAGGCGCGAGTCAGTATCTGGCGACGCATGCTGTCACAGACCAGTTTGATGCTGGGCGACACCTGGCCGTCGCTTTCGGCAGTGTCTTGCAACTGCTCCCCTTCCGGCAGTGGCGGCGGCAGGGGAGCGGGCGGCTGCTTGGGAGGCGTCGACTGCTGCTCGGGAAACACGTCGTTGGCTACCTGAGTGTCCGTCTCTGAGATAGAAAGACTCTTGCCCGAGGACGTGGATGAAGTTGACATGGTGGACGACGAGAGCTTGGTGTTGGTGGCGCGCCAGGAGAGCGGACCACATCGGTTGGCCGACGGATACATGAGCTCCTGCGAGTTGACGGCCGGCGGACGTTGTGAGTACAGAATGCGGAACACGTAGTCGGCTGCCTCGGCCTCCTCATCGCTGGTCGACGTGCCTGAGGTCGGGGCGGGCTCGGAGGGCAGTCGGCCGCGGCCGCGCCGCCGGAGTCGCGGAAACACCTTGCCGCGGCCGCGCTGCGACCAGAGCGGCGGGTCGAGCTGGCCGTGCGGCAGGAGGCCCGTCTCCAGACAGGAGAGGAAGGCCAGCAGGTGACCGCCGCGCGGGAACAGCACCGGCGGGTGCTGCACGCCGTCGTGCGCTACCAGCACAGCCGTGCCGCCCGTATCAGCCTGCTGGTGACAGTGCAGATAGACGATCTCATCAACACGCACCTGAAGTGCGTGCTCCCAGAAGGCGCTCTTCTCCTTGTCATTTGGCTCGCCGCCTTCCGAGTGACAGCCGTTCATCAGTTGGTTGGGTGTCCACTTGATAACCAAACAGTCGGGCAGCTGGTGCAGGGACAGGTAGCCGGGCAGGGGCGCTGCCTGCTGCGGCGGCTGCACCAGGACGTTATTTTTGCCGTACAGCAGAGTGGCCTTGTTGTTCTGGTGCAGCGACTCGACGTAATCCCTCGCTGACACGTTGAGGCCGTCGACGCTGAGGGGCCGAGTGCGCGCACTACCGCTGAACTGGAGGCCCGGGCGGCGGCCGGCCGGCGGGGTGCTGGGCGAGCTGTAGGGCGCCGTCGAGATGCGGGCGCGCTGCACCAGCTCGTCGGCCGGCGGGTCCGACCACAGGTGGTCGATGGTTTTCATGCGGGTGTACTCGAGCGCGCACGGGCCCACCAGCAGCGAGCCCAGGATGGTGCCGTAGTCTGGGTCGGCGATCAATGCGTCCCGCTCGTAGTACTGGTTGCTGTTCTGCACGAGGAAGTTGATAATGTTGGCCAGCTGTTTCTCGAAGAGCGCCTGCCGAAGCCAGAGATATCGGGTGCCGATCTGGCTGGAGGTGCGTTTGAGCAGCGGTGGCGGCCGCGGGCTGATCCGAGAGCTGGAGTCGCCACTGCTGGAGCTGCGCCTGCCGGGCTCGGCCGTCTCCAGCTCCTGCAGCCGTGTCGAGATGAGCGCCGCCGCCTCGCAGCTGCGGCCGATCTTGTGCAGCAGCGCTGTGGTGGAGTTGGTCTTGAACAGTCCGAGCGCGCGTCGCCGCAGGCCGTGCGACAGGCACGCGTCCACGGAGGCGCACAGTGCCGTGATACACGCCGAGTCCTCGTGGGTGAACTTCCGCGTGACGGCCTCCTCCATCAGCTGCTTGACCTCCTTTTTGACGGCGCCGATGAGGCGGGCCTTCTCGTCCTCGGCTGTCGTCTCCGGCCCCATGACGGCGGTGACTGGGGCGTTGTGAGCGCGACCGGCGCGTGGCTGGCTCAGCTCACCTCACCAGCTGCTGGCTGAGACGGCACCGGATTGCGGCGAATGTGGCTGCTGAGCGGGGCGGCGGCCGATCGACCGGCGCCGTCGGACGGCGACTGCGCGCGCCGCCGATCGATGCCCGTGAAACGGCCGCCGGCCAGGTGGACCGCTGACGTCAGCCAGTCGGCCATCGAGCCGAGCCGAGCCGAGCCGAGCCGCCGCCGAGCCGAGCCGCCGCCTGTTGCTCCCCTTCCCGCTGGCGGCGAGAACCGATCGATGGCGCGTGCCACACTCAATACCGAGTAGGAGTATGACTGCATGATTGCGTGATTGGGAAGCTGCTCATGTAGCAAATTGTTTCGCTAATTGATGCTACAGGACATGTTCTTCTGAGGATAAGACATGCATTATCTATTGTTTTAATGCTAAATGATTATCGAATTAATTGGGACCTTTGCTTTGGTCTCAACATATTTGTCTCCGATTGTCTCAAATACCCCCCTCTCTTCATCCTTCTGCTCCGAGGCAAAACAATATGGAGCATCTGGATATTATCCAGGAAGCTCTCATCCCTTTACCGAGTACGTGGGACCACTGCAGCTGCCACAGTGATGGAATCATGCTTTTCCTGGGCTCAACTTGTTACTCAACTTGAAATAAAGTGAAAGATTTCCTAAAACATAGTGTCTACATCCATATATCCCAGATGACGGTTTGGGAACCGACAGATATACTGACTCAGTCATCCGCTCTCTGTTGTGTTGCAGAGATCTAAAGCCGGAGAATATCCTGCTGGACGCAACTGGTCATGTGAAGCTGACCGACTTCGGCCTGTGCAAGGAGAGCATCCAGGACGGCCTGGTCACCCACACATTCTGCGGCACCATCGAGTACATGTGAGTCTGAGACGTCACTGAGTGGGTTCTGTGTATAATTGCAGATTTTCGGTCTGCGGCACCATCCAGTACATGTGAGTCACGACGTGTGTGTACTGACATATTTTCTTTCTGTGGCACGGCACACTTGTGTCACCGTATTGTTTTTTTTCGGTCCCCAGTGGGAGCTGCTTACTTATTTAGAGGTCTTGGAACAGTGGTCGATAAAACTTCCAACGTGCCAACGCTCGTTGGAGCAAGATATTAGCAATGCTTCGAAGAGCTGGAGACAGTCCGCCCGTCTACATGGATGCTTCCTTACGCCTAAAATACAGCATTGACTTATGACTTTCTAATCGTCCGGTGCTGTTATCGGCTGCTCGGTACCGCGTGTATGCTCCCTCATTCACTCCTGGTCACCCTTCGGTCACCACTTGCTGGGTCGGGCCAGTCGGCTATTTTTATCCTCTTTCCGGCTAGGCCACCCGCTGAGCTCTCGCCGTGCCGCGCCGTCTGCGAGGGACCTGACCCTTCTGCCGGCAGAGGTTTCTCCAGGTGTCTCCGAGGAGCCATCATAGCGCTAAGGGTGTGCTCCGCATACACATACAATGATTTTCGCCCTTACTAGCAGGGCCGCTGGCACGTGTTGGCAGCGCCCTGCGGGCATTTTTTCGCTTAGGGTCATTTTGTAGTAAGGAGGATCAGAAAATCACCCTTCCAACTTTCTCCAGGCCTGGGTGTTTTATCGAGCGCGCCTGAAAACGCACAGTGGACCGAAATCACACTTCGATTGCGCTACTTCGTATTAAGTAATACGATAAAAAGTTCGCCCTTTTCTCAATCAATAAGGACAAGTGCGTTAAAGCACACATATAAATTTTTGAATTAAAAGCTTTAAAATGCTAAATTTCAACATCTCTAAGCTGATGATAATCGTTAGTTGTTTCAGACTTTGGCGCGAAAACGTAGGCATTCAGATCCACCGTGCGACCGGTCACCGTATGCAGTAGTATGATAGTGTGAGTTGGGGAGTCCAGGCCGTGTGGGGATAAGGTAAGGAGATACCGGTGTGCCGACGCGGCGGATGGCAATGAATTTTCAGGATAGGTAGCAAAAGGCTCATTCTCAGACGCTGTGCCAAATTTTGCGGCGCTACGCGACACCAACTTTTACGCTATTCGCGAACAAAAAACTTAGGGAGGCTGCTCCCCCCCCCCCCCCCGCCAGGCGAGGGCTAAGTTGGAGACAGTGATGGGACTAAGATGTTCGTTGGAGCAACTCCAAGCATTTTATCGACCTCTGTCTTGGAATGTCACTTCCCCTAGTCGATCAAGTTCCGAAAGATGCCAACAGTGGACTTGTGTTAACCCTGACCTGATGGAAATCGTGATGTCTCCTACTGTGTGGCTCATTCACTAGACTCATCGAACCCCCTCATCGAACATTTTACATTGTATGTTGTTTCTTTGTTGGTGCTGTGCTGTCTGATTGATACTGGGTTCTCACTTCTCAGCTAGATGTCACTGTTTCCTCAGCCAGCTGGCCGGCATCCTTACGCACGAAATAGTCTGATTTGCTTCACCTATGTACCGTTTTTTTCTACCACGCTGAAAATGAATAAGTTAGAAATCATTGACAGCCGAACACAGAGCCACTGTAGCAGACGTCATGTCGTCATGTCATGTGCGTCATGTGCCGTACCTTGGCGCATTCTGTTCAATGTCTTGACGTTTCAGTACGATGAGCATCCCGGAAATGCGTCATCTACGTCATCCCGGAGAGACGTCATCTGCGTCGTCTACGTCATTTGCTCAATACGCTGCTGCCCACGCGCCTCTCTTTGTCAGGGTGACGCTAGAATCCCATATTAACCATGAATTATATCCGGACGCTGTGTATCACATATGTATCGTGTGCACTGTGCGTTTGATACTGGAATGAGACCTTACCAAGTCGTGCTTTGGCGGCAGGGCGCCGGAAATTCTGACCCGCACCGGTCACGCCAAGGCGGTCGACTGGTGGTCGCTGGGCGCGCTCATGTACGACATGCTCACCGGCGCGCCGCCCTTCACCGCCGAGAACCGCAAGAAAACCATGGAGAAGATCCTCAAGGGAAAGCTGAACCTGCCGCCCTACCTGACGGCCGACGCGCGCGACCTCGTCAGAAAGCTGCTCAAGGTATGGTCAGCTGCTGCGCTGGTGGCCGACTCGGGTTGCGACGCTGTACCGGTCGGCAACAGGGCTGCCGGTTACCGGCACAAGTACTAATAGCACACCTCGTCCAGTGTATCGGTGCATATTTACTTACGCTGCCGTAGAAATGGGTGCACATTCGCTTATGTTGCTTAAAAATGAAGCACCTTTGCGCATCGGTTCCGAAGTGTGCGCTCCCATAAAAAGGGCTGCTTACAAATGGCACGGTATTAGAGTTAGGACTCAATGACATTACTTCTCGGGACTAACCTAATTTACATAATTCGTGGCTCATGCTAGTTCAGTGGTCTCGGTGGCCGGGTTTCGAATCATCTGGTATTCGTTGCGATGGCTATGTGCCGACTGTAACCTTCCGTCATCTGCTCACAGCGTCAGGAGAAGCAGCGGCTGGGCAGCGGACCCGAGGACGCAGACCCCATCAAGACACATCCCTTCTTCAAAAACACAAACTGGGCCGACGTGGCCAACCGGCAGCTCGAGCCGCCCTTCAAACCCAGTCTCGTAAGTGCTAGTTGTTGTATGAGTCGCCCGTGGTCGCACTGTCAAACCCAGCCTCGTGAGTTTGGTTGCCTTAGTCGCTCACGGCCCTCGGTCGCTCCTTCAAACCCAGCCTCGCGAGTGACAGGCATCTTGTCGCCTCTTTACGATCAGTCTAGTGGGCGTCGCTCCTTCGCCCCCGGTGGAATATAAGATCCCCTTTCCGCCTATCATACAAAATATTTTAACTATAGCAGTCCGTGATACTTCAACTTTTTGTGACCGCGGTTGTGGGCGACGGGCTGTGCCGTTGGCTGTGGGCTAGGGGACTGACACTCCTGGTGCCTCTCATAGAGATCTTATATGCATAAGATATATGTATATAAGATCTCTGTGGTGCCTCTGGCGGTTGGCAACGTGACCGAGACTGAGATTAAACCGACGCTGGCTGTGGGTGAGGGTGAGGGGACTGAACTGAAACTGAGACTGGTGTCGCTGGCTGTGGCTGAAAGGATTGAGACTGAGACTAAGCTGATAAGGAACCTGAAACTGGTGCCGCTGGCTGTGAGTGAGGGGAACTGAGACTGAGACTGGTGTCGGCTGCGGGTGAGTGGACTGAGACTGAGACTGAGACTGGTACTTCTTACTGAGTGAGGTGACTGTGCTGATAAGGAAACTGAAACTGGTGCGGCTGTCTGTGTGAGGGGGACTGGGAGTGAGACTGATCCGGCAACACTGGCTATTCGTGAGGGAACTGAGACCGAGACAGTTGTCGCTAGCTTTGGGCGAGGGGACTGAGACTAGTGCCACTAGCTGTTGGTGAGGGACTGGGACTAGTGCCACTGGATGTGGATGAGGGGACTGGGACTATTGCCGCTGGCTGTTGGTGAGGGGACTGAGACTATTGCCGCTGGCTGTTGGTGAGGGAACTGAGACCGAGACAGGTGTCGCTAGCTTTGGGTGAGGGGACTGAGACTGTTGCCACTGGCTGTGGGTGAGGGACTGGGACTATTGCCACTGGCTGTGGGTGAGGAACTGGGACCGATCTATTACCCCCGCTGCCTTCAGACGAGCGAGGAGGACACGTCTCAGTTCGACCAGCGGTTCACCAACCAGCCGCCTGTCGACTCGCCCGACGACTCGCACCTCTCCGAGAGCGCCAACCTGGTCTTCGAGGTGAGTACTCGTGATGCGAGCTTGGGGTGTCATTGCTCTTGAATATATGCTGTTGAAAAGGTATGTTGCCTTATTTATTTCTGACCACTTTTTCCCGTTGCTTTGGCATAGTCGGATTAATTCATATGATCATAGTTTACTTGGTAATGGTATTCATCATTGTGTGCCTGTCTTCCACTAGTTTATTGATAAGGCAGCTGCAATGCCGCCTTTTGAAGCGTTACTTTGTGGATCTGGAGATCAGCCGGTGTTGATGGTTAGGTCGGGTTTTCAACTGGACTGGGGGCCTGCCCCTGGATCAGCTTATACCTGACCGGCTCGTCGCGGCCGTCCCGCAGGGTTTCACCTACGTGGCGCCGTCCATTCTGGAGGAGATGAACCGGCCGATGGCGTTCCGGCCGCGCTCGCCGCGGAAGCCGCAGCGCGGCCCGCTGGCGTTCCCGTCTCCGGCGCCCATGGGCGCGGCGCCCGCCGAGGAGCTGATGGACACCTCCCAGCAGCCGCCGCAGCCCAAGTGGGTGTGGCAGCCGCACTGACCCGCGCCCCCCCCGTCCGTCCCTCCCCCGGCCCGCGCCGCGCCGCCGGGCCCAATAGCCTAATGCGCCTCCGGTACTGATAGAGCTGAAGACAGATAGTATGTGAATGCGTGTAGATGTGTTTGGGTGATTGTATAATCGGCCCCGGGCTGCCCGCCGCGCGCTCGGCGCAGCGCGGCGCGGCGCGCCCGCCCCCTGGCCGGGCTCCGTAGGGAGTCACTAACTCGCCTCGTCAGCGCACCGGCGCGGCCAGGCCAGATTGCTCAATGGAGTGCGATGGGGCGCGCGCGGCGCTAGTGAGACCGCGGCCCGAGCAGAGCGCCTGCGGTCCACGCCGGTGTGTGAACCCGCGCCCAGAGAGAGCGACTGCGCCCTCAGCGGCGCCCCGGCCGGCCCTGTACCGACTTCACGGGCCGGCCCTATATACCGAATCCACTGTATAGCTGCTGCTGCTGTGAGATTTCCATGGTCTGATAGATACTTACTAACTCTCACTCTCTGTCTCTTCTTTCTCTCTTTCTTCTTTTCTCCTTCTGTATCTTTTCATTTTCTCTTTCTTTTTCTCTCCCTGTTTCTTTCTCTTTCGGCGGTCTGCACTGCGTCGTCCGTCGTCCGGGACGATCCGTCGTCACAGCGCCCAGGTGACTCGTCTGTAGTGACGCGACTGCGGCCGGCGCGGCGCCCTGGTCTGCCCGGCCACACCCAGCCACGCGCGGACGCTGCTCGGACGTGGCGAGACGGCCACGCTCAGCGGTCGACGTCGACAGAGCGCGCGCGCCAGACAGAGGGCAAACCCGTCTTCATAAGAACGCTTCTAAGACTGAGCATTCGAGTCTTCGAAATAGGAGGCGATGTCATAATGTTTGTAATGTTTAGATTTTTATTACGGATGGATGGCGACCCTATTTTTGGGGCTCGAATGGTCCTTGTGTTAAAGCGTGCCTTGGCGGGGCAGGACAGGCTTGTATGATGTGGCCTGACCGGCTGCCCGCCTGTCGTCTACCGTTGTTACAATTTACCGAGACGTTGCTTTCAACGTGAGCAAAAACTCTGTTGACTCCCGGGGCAGTTTTGGATATGTTTGTGGCCGTGTGCGGGTGCGGGCGGCGCACGCACCACTCGCCGGCCGGACGGCGTCGATCGGCGTGTTTTTTTGTACGACAATGTCGCGCAGCTGCCGTCGGAGGCCGAGCTCGCCGCCGTCAGCTAAACTAATACAAAGTGGCAGCCGGACCCAGTCGTGTGCGTGTGAGTGTGGGCTCGCATGGTAGCATCAAATACCAAGGACAAGAAGTTCGTATTTGATTTGCTTATGGTCGCTGCCTTGCACGTGACTGACACAACACTGTAGAACATCGTAAGCGTATCGCACTGCTGACCATTGTGATGACAGGCAAATGAACACAATATCGCTGCGACAAAAACACGCAGATAAGTCTATGATCACAAAATGCTAAACCCAGCAAATCTGCTGGATCACTGAGCAGCTACACAAGTCCACAAATGACTCAGCTGCATTGCACTGGTTTAACGACCGGTGGAGGGGCCGACAAGACTAGCCTAAAACGAGGCTGCGGGTGGTCAGCTGATTAGGCGCATCACAAGCGAGTACGAGCCGAAGAACACTGATCCACCTGTAGAGATCCACAAGACGCGGGGCACTACACCAGCGAACAGCCTGCCAACAAACCAGACAAAACGGTTAGCAATGGCAGGGATTGTTGAACGAGATATTGATTGGTAAATATTGTGGAGAGCATTGTGGAAATAAGTTCCGATTCTAAGTTACAACTTACAAGTAAGTGGACTATGAGTTGGTTTAGTGAACAACGCACGCGAGTTCAAGGTCGATAACCGGTGCCAATTCCGGGCGCCCTTGAAACTCGATGTCAGCGAGTGTTTGGGGGCTTTTTTGCTTAGATCTGTGAACGGTGGGTTCCAAGACAGCCTGCCGGCCTACAATTATAGCTCTGGAATCACGGGGACTTGGTTCACTCACCCGGCGAGGCCGTTCTCCTGTCGGATGATGCGCAGCGCGGCCACCAGGCCCCCGGACGCCAGCTGGCTGTGCCGGTCGGCCAGCATGATGCGCGTCTTGGCCACGTCCAGTGGGGTGGTGATGGCCGCCGACACGCCGCCTGCCGCACCACGGCACACGCTCAGTAACTGGCACAACACGGTTCAATAATCTCGGATCCAGCCCGGTAGCTGACAAGTTATGTCTTTAAATAGGAGGGGAGAAGGCTAAACGAAACAATCTAAATACAATATAACAAATATCAAGTTAAAATCGGTTTGATTGACCATTAGAGAAAGACGTGAAATCTCCGAGTTTTCATTGAAAATATGCATATAAGAACGTACTAGACGTATTGTGTTCAGTACGATACTTTCGGCTCAATCCAGACCCCGGTCTATTGTCCTTCCCTTAGTAACCTGTCGTCCTACCTGCCACGCCGCCGCAGAGTCCCGACTGCCAGGGCTCCACGGGCCGGCCGCGCTGCCTTCCCCAAGCCGCCTTCAGCGCCTCCCAGAGCGGCAGCTGCCGGAGGTCCGACGGACAGACCGGTCAGACGATGACACCGAAGTGACCGAACAGCCAGCGGCAGCCAGATACTGACAGCACATTACTGTACCAGACTGTAACCGTCGGCATACTCAAAGGAATATCAATCGATCCAGGCTTCTTCAGGGATGTTTTTTAAAGACCTCCCCCAACCTCCTGCGACACAATGAAGAAGAACGGAATGCGATCTCCACATCGTCACTCCAAGTGTGAAGTGATACGTTTAACCTCGATAGATTATGTTCCAACACACTGTGAATTATAGTACCCGGGCCCTGACAAGAAGGCCTATACAAAACGCCAACCGTGCTTACCTGCAATATCGCGAAGGGCACCTCCCGCAGCACGGTGGTGAGGAAGCCGCGGTACATTCCTGCGAAGCCTTCCTCGGCCAGCGTGGTGGTGATGATGTGGCGAGCAGAGACGTCGGGACGCGCCTGGCGCCGCTGCTTCACCACCTCAACGGGCACGCGCACAACGGCGGCTACCTGAAAGGGACGGGATACAAGAGCTGGGGTCAGGTATAACACACATCAAAGTTCAGGGATAGAACACAGGCTACTAAAAGAACACAACACCAGGCAGCTCAGCAATACAACTTAAGGTTGACCTTGCCTATGGAATAATCAGCCACTTTGCTATTAATTGTGTACTAAGCTGGGGCAGATCGGCTGAGCACCACAACCGTTGTGCTGCTCAGCCGATCTGCCCCAGATTAGTACACAATTAATAGTAAAGTGGCTAATTATTCCATAGGCAAGGAATCTGTTAGCTGTTAGTTACTGGTAGCGATTGCTGAGTAAAAACCCACCGACGTAACCCACTACTCTTACCGCAGGCCGCAGCCCGACTGTACGAGCGCACGTAGTGTGAGTTGATTGTGCGCGCGAGGACGTTACCGTTTCGCCGGCAGCGGCGGCGGCTCCCTGTGCTGCCGGCAGCCAGCCCGGTGACAACCGTTCCGAGGCACGCCGCGCCAGCCCGTCATAGGTGATGAAGAACAGCGCCGCTGCAGATGAAAGACAAACCAGTATCATGTAGACATTAGTCGGTGATAATCGTCACAGGGCACAGCTTGTCGTCGGTGATTATTGTAAACGACCAGAAATCGCTTCCTTTTTTTTACTCAAGTCTTACAGCGGAGTGTGCTGGCTGCTCACCGGTCGGTATGGATCCGGTGGCGGCAGCGCCCACTCCTGAGTAGAGGCCACGGAGACCGCCAGAGCGCATCAGACCCTCTGCTGACTGCAGCCGGGTCTTCAGTGTGTCCAGCGGGAACAGTGACACATCCACAGTCAGACCAGCTGCACCGCCCGCCTGTCAACCATAGCACACACCGGGCCCGAGGGTCAAACGGAGCACCGTGCCCTGCACACAAGCACAGCAAACTCACCCAATTCCTTTGATGACAAATATGGAGAGGGCAGGGAAATGGAAGGGAGGCAGAGAAAGGGAGGGAGGGAGAGGGAGAAAGAGAGAGAGAGAGAGAGAGAGAGAGAGAGAGAGGGAGAGGGAGAGAGAGAGAGAGAGGGAGAGAGAGAGAGAGAGAGGGAGAGGGAGAGGGAGGGGAGAGGGAGAGGGAGGGAGGGAGGGAGGGAGAGAGGGAGAGGGAGGGAGGGAGGGAGAGAGAGGGAGAGGGAGGGAGGGAGGGAGAGGGAGAGGGAGAGGGAGAGAGAGAGAGAGAGAGAGAGAGAGAGAGAGAGAGAGAGAGAGAGAGAGAGAGAGAGAGAGAGGATGGAGAGTTGCATTTTTGCCATATTATCAAGACCATAACAGCTGAGACAACTTAGTACTTACAATGAATGAATGAAGAAGTGATGGAGAAGATGATTCACTTGAAGACATGATGTAAAACTGGAAAAATAATAATGTTGTCAGACAAGCCACCAGTTGGTGACAGTGATACAAATAATATTAAATCATTCAGTTCTTAGAAAAAAGTGCATATGGTAAAATGGAACATGTAACTGTAAGTTGAGCCAAAATGATCACTTGAATGCATTCTTATGAGTAAATTGCAAGAAAAAGTTTGATGAGCTTGTTTTGGCATCAACAGCATGCACTTACATAACAACACACTTCACAGAAACAGACACAAACCGCAAGAGAAAATGTTACAGCAGATACCAATGTTCTAAAAACATACTTTCAATGCTTACTAGAAAAAGCCTAACTATGGGTCGTGTCACATTGAAATTATAAGGGCATTTAAAAAAGAGGTAATAAGATTGATAAAAACATAAACTGAACCTCTAGGTTCTCTATATTGATAAGTGACTGCGGGCGCCGGCATCGGGGGAGCCTGCGTTTGAAACGTCGCAATATCGCCATTTTTGAACCGGAGTTTGCTGCCAACTTACCCAGGAATTTTGCTGCCAACCCAACCAAGAATCCCGGCATAAAGGTAACTGACTGGAGTGACCACTGACCATATCCATAGATAGAGCTTTAGTGCCCTGGAGGCGGGCTGGATAGAGCATGATAGGGTGACCACCGTTCAGTCTTTACTGGTCTTTACCTCAGGACAGTCAAATCGTGGTCAAGTCTCTCTCCTCCACGCCCAAGCCCCCTGGCCCTGATCCGGACTGGACGGGCAACTTTATCCCATACGGGCAGCTCCATCGGAGGACACCAATAGTCGGGTGCAGTGATTGCTGGAGGGGGGGGGGGAGACTCTGGGCAGTGGGCGGCCTGTCCAACTGTATGGGCTCTGCCCCGGTGTCTCACTGGGGTGCCTGGCCAGACCAACGTCTCTCCGAACTCCTATCATCTTTTCGACTCTGAAATGGTCAGGGTCACGTCAGACCGAAATGCCTAGCCCAATAAAACTAAAAACAAAGCCGAGTCATCTTGTACATATTCTAACTCACGCTCCCCTTCCGGGGTGGTGGTTACTGGTTACCCCACCTGACAACCGGTGGTTGAGGTCGGCTCCGTTTCAGGACCCATTATCCTCTCCGGGTGACCGTTTGGGAGGCGGGCGGACTGTCCCAACGGAGCAATCCGGTACCTCCGGGACGGTCTCGTCTTCGCGGAGCACTGTCGGGTCTCCCGCACAGCCCGATGTCTACGCCCTATTCTATCATCCCAATTCCCATAGCCTCTGCAATGACCTTTTCAGGCCGAAAGAGCTCGCTCCCAACAGGGTCCCAACAAAAACGAACTAACGAGCAATCTTGCCTGATCACCAAGCTATAGATCAAGAAGCAGTCTCGTCTCGGGAGGAGGCTGCTTCTTGGCAGACATCGCCATTGTCCGCGTGACGCGTTTTATGGTGGAATAGCTTAGATCATCCTGGTCTAAGGCAAGGCCCTAAAAATCTAAGGCAAGACCTTATGAGAGGTCTTAGGCACATTTAGCATTATCTTTCCTAACATTGTATGCCTACGCAAGAAAATTTATTTGACCATACACATACACAATTGACCGTACGCGTGCGAGCGCAAGGAAAGAGAAACTCGCTTCTAGTCGACTCAGAGAGCGTCAACGATAAAATGTCGATGATCGGGGGGTGAGCTGCCCACCAGGCCGGACCCCATCCGAATGCGGGTGATATGAGTCGAGCAATCAAGCCAAACAGAGCGTTATGACAGCGGTCCACGGCTGGCAGTAAGTTGTGACGGTGACGTCACAACCTCACGTAAGTACCACACGGCAGCGCTGCGCAGCAATGACAAATAAGTTATACGCTCACCACGACAGAAATGAAGAACTCATGAGCCTCCGAGCGAACCCTTGCCCGGGAAAGTGTAGCTCAACTCGCAGTGGCTTATCTAGTCACATGAATCGGAACACCATTGAAAATACAATACAGAAACAACGATCTCCCACAGTTGCTATCACCGAACGTCTTACTTACTCAAAGCGCGGACGCCTCTAAACCTTTTTACGTCTAACTACAGTTCATTCATTCCCCGTAATACGCACAAAGGTTCTAGCGTCGAGCATGGCGCGAGACAGACGTTAGCAGCACTTGATTCCAAACAGGGAACACCATTCACACCTAGTGCTCCACACCAGCGATATCATGTCAAGCTCGAACACCGGTCGAGGATCGCGTGTCTACACTGCTGGTCCGGAGCCGACCGGACACCAATGTCAACGCCGAACACCGCTGGCCAGCCGGGCCGGTTCTGTGTGCGCCGCGCCGCCGTTACCGGGACAGACTGTACGTGCGCTCCTTCTCCGCCACCGGCGCCGCGGGCGGGTCGACAGAGCTAAAGAACGGCATCTGGATGAGCTGGGCGAGCGTGGGCCGCCGCGCCGGGTCGTACTCCAGCGAGGCCTCCACCACGTCCAGCAGCTCGCGGTGCTCGGCCTCGTCGGAGCGCGCGAAACGGCGCAGCGGTCGGCAGTTGTCGCGCACATAGCGGGCGGACGAGGACTTCTCGCTCCAGACCAGCTTCCCGCGGTAGAAGTACTTTGTCTTGGTGCGCTCAACCATGCGAGCTGGCAGCGGGCCCAGGATGCGCTCCATCATGGCCAGGTGCTCGCGGTTGTCGTGCGTCTGGAACAGGGCGTAGCCCAGGTACAGCTCGATCAAGATGCAGCCAATGCTCCAGACGTCGCACGGCTGCGCCCAGCCCAGCTCCAGGATCACCTCAGGGGCGCGGTAGTGGCGCGTCGAGACCACCGTCGAGTGGTGCTCGTGGTCGAACGTGGCACTGCCGAAGTCGATCAGCTTGATATCGGGGTTCTTTACCCGGCGCACGTCGCGTTTCCGTCGCGAGTCGTACTCTATGTCATAGTCAGAGTTGACGAATAGGATATTCTCTGGCTTTAGGTCAGTATGTGTCAGCTTGTTCTCGTGCAGAAAGCGAACCGCTTGAATCAGCTGGTAGCCCATGTGTCGCACATGCGGCATCGGGTACGGCTGGTAGTTGTTATCCTTGAGAAATTCAAACACGCTGAGACCGAGCATCTCAAACGAGATGCACATGTGACCATGGTAGTCGAACCAGTCCAGCATCTGGACGCAGAGGTGGCGGCCCGCCGAGCCCTTATAGGCGAGCCTCTCCAGAACATTGATCTCCAGTTTGGCAGCTTCACGATACTTGTCAATGTTCTTGATAATCTTGAGCGCGCTGACGCGGTCCCTCTGCGAGTCGCGTACCTGCACCACCTTTCCGAACGTGCCCTCGCCGAGCGTGCTGAGGATGCGGTAGCGGCCCTGCAGCAGGTCGCCGACCCGGTACACCAGGTGGCCGTCCGAGTCGTCCACCACGGACGGCGAGCGGGTCGGCTCGCGGCGTCGGTGCGGCCGGCGGCGCAGCGACGACGACGAGCGGCGCTGCCGGCGCGAGGAGCGCAGCCGGTGCCGGCGCGGCGGGCTCGGCCGCCGGCTGCGGCTCCGCTCGGCGCGGTGACGGTACGACTCCGGCTGACGGTGCCGGTGACGCGAGCGGGACCGTGACCGGCTGCGAGATTCATAGAGCCGCTCGGGCGAGTCGCGGCGGCGGGTTCTCGGCATGTTGCGGCACCTTAGGACGTGTACCGCCCACCAGATCAGGTCCAGCGCGGATCACTCACACACCTGCCAACAGTGCCATTACAACAACAATGAAATGATGGCTAGAATGACATGTCCGAAAAAACTTTTGACGCAGGTAGAGGCAATGTAACTAAGCAAAAACATCAAAGGAAAGGCGGATGGCGATTAGGAAGTAAGTGTTCCATGCAGCCTCCAAAATTAATAAAATGTCATTTTGCACAGAAAATAAAAAAGCATTCATTCTAAAAATGTTCAATTTTAACTACATGGTAACACATAATGAAGATAGTTCAAATTTTTGGAATACGATTTGTTTTTAGCATTCAGCATACCAGTGCCCCAAATCACCTGTTGGGATGTGCCAATGCAGCTATGTGGTTTTTCCATGGAATCACTCTACAATGAGAATCACTTGCATAATGCTTAAGTTGTAGCCAAACCAATCAACTGTTAAAATACATTTTATCCATAGATACATAAATACATCAGATATAAGTATACTGAAATGGTGTCAAAACTTCAACAGCTTAAAATTCACCAACTAATTACTAAAGCATATACTCATGAAAAAAATGTTTTTTCTCTATAATCCTGGTCAACATGAAGACTAGCATTATGTTTAGTATGCTACAAATGACTTTTGTGAGCTGAAAAGAGAAGCACTGGTGAAGATAGCCAATAAAATGGCAACTAGCATACAAAGAAAAGGTGAAGAATATGTGTAACTCCTTTTCTCCTGCTCCTATACCATTTCACATATGAGTATAAGGCAATATGAACAGGACATCAGCATATGCTGAGCACCAAACACTTGTGAAAGCTAGGGATTCACTATTCCATTTCCAATGCCTACTACTGAAGAATCTGAGGTGATAAACTGATAAGTCCCAGTCTCCAACTCTGGAATCAGAAACCAGAAGGTTTCAGACTTCTAAGATAAAAACCACTTGGCTGGGTAGTCTGCTCATAAGACACCATTTCAGAACTTCTTAAGCCAGTAAAACAGCATACTTGGGTATATCATACATCAACAAACATTCAAAATTGCTTCGAGAACTTGAAAAGTGTGACAATTTGAATGGCTTTGTTGATCAATCATCAATCTAAAATTCAGGAGTCAAAGCTAAAAGCTTACAGACTTAACTTTCTCAACACTTCGATAAAATGACTGAATGATTTGGTGGAGCCACCATGGCAAAACAAACAAGAAATTGGCATTTACTTACTCCAACCACTGTAACCGTTTCGAAAAACGGAAGGCAGTCTTTTCTGATTCTTAGACAAGAGGTGGACGATATCATGCCAGTGAAAGTCGATTGACACGACATAAGCTGCAAAGGCTTTTGCTGCAGTGATGGCTGGAATATGATCGATTTATCGAAGAAATTACGCCCAGAATAGATCTAACTCTATCAAATTTTTCGTCGCCACCAAAAAGAATATAAATGCCCACATGCTTCACATTTGTCAAAGTCAAGGTCTGGTGAAACACGTTTGTGAAACAGCGTTCACTGAAGCTGCGTAATGCTGCATGAGCATATGCAGCATCACTGCAGCATAATGTCAATTTCGAAAAATGCGTGGGCGTGCACGCATGATGATAACAGTACTGCATGATTTTTAGAAAAAAAGCGATCACAGGGCACTGAAGATTGACTATTTGTACAAAATTTGACAAGAATCAAATTCTAAGGAACCTATCAAGAAAAACCTTCAGACACCTAAAATATGGAAGCATCATTCTGCGCCATCAATGGAGTGTGTGATACGTACGAAAATTTTGTTTTCGGCATGACTGCGCTCCACTCACTGCTCTCCCAGCAAAGGCAAGAATGACAATGATGAATTAATATTTTATTTATTTTTTAGTTTAACCCACCTGTACTGTGAACGAGGCAAGTTTTAGGTTCAGATCACCAATCATAAATTACAATAAAGAGTAAGTGGGGAGCGTCCCTAGCTCGGGAAAGTTGACGAAGTTCCCTGCTTCTTTGTTAGGTACCCCTACACTTCTAATTGTAATGTAAAATAATTCTGATTCAGCTACAAGCTTAAACCATGGATCTAAAACTTTGTTAAAGTGACCATCCCACCTTAATATTAGTTTTGGGTTGAGATAGTAAAAATGTGGTCCCTGGCTTACACTTACCGGTTTGAGCACTCACAACATCGAGAAATGCCTCAAATTGAAAATATCTAATTTCAAAGTTGCAGCACTTTGATTCAGAGGGGCTAATGCATTAGAATGCCCCTCTGAATGTGTGACATCAGCGCAGATCTAACGATTTTAAATCTTTTACTAAAATGTTTGGTAGGTAGCATGTGCGGTGGTATATGCTGCTTTGCGCACAAGTGCCGCACTTTCAACTGCCAAATTGTTGCTTCCAAATAAGTTGCTAGGAACAGTGCAGATCCTAAAAAGTAAACAAAAGTAAAAGTATAATATCTTGAAAACTGGTTAATATTTTTCGGTGAATCTTGGTAGATATTAGTTTTTGCTCTTTCTTAACACGCGCACTGCAGGGGGGGGTTGTTTTCAACCCCCCCCTGTGGTTTTTCGCAGATCGCAAGAAAACGGCGGCGCGCAGCGCCGCCAAATTTTGCATACCTGTTCTCCCAACTGTTGCGCACCTTGAGTGAAAATTTTGACCCCAGGTGACCTATGGTCAGGTCACCAGGTCAGGTCAAGTGACCCTACCTCAGAACGTAAATTTCGAAGTTTGCAATCCCACCAAGCCCACAGTTGTTGAGATAGGATCTTGAAACCCGCAGGAAGTAGTAAGGGCATCACGAGCTACAATTTGTATATCTCGGAATTTTTATATCGATGACCTAAGGTCAGGTCATTTTTGCGACCGGCCCATTATAAGTCAATGGGAGAAATTTCAACTTACTCTGAATGCCATCCTATGACTTCAATATGCTCAGGATCATAGTATTACAGGTCCCTGTTGGTGATTTCGCCGAAGTATATCACTTGTGACCTTTGGAAGGTGACCTCCAGGTCATCTGAGGTCACCTGAGGTCACCAACGGTTTTTCTTCAATAACTTGAGATTGAATAGAGATAGAGACTCCGTTCGACGTTTATCGTGTTTGTCTCGTCAATGCGGATCGAATGATATGCAACATGACCTATTTCGGTCAGGTCATGACCTTGACCTGAGGTCAAATTTTCAACTTGACCTTTCGAGGTCATATTATATATCATTCGATGCGCCTTGACGAGCTAAGAACGATGGCGTTCGAATCAACTCTCTATCTCTTCTGTGTAACGAGTTATTCAAGAAAAACTACCGCGAAATTCCCGTTGTGAAAATCGTAACATTTTGTCTTCGGTGACCTCTGGTGACCTCGTTTTTGACCTAGGACAAAAATGACCTTTGTATTTCCTCTAGATAACATCCCGACCTATCCAACGCCGTTTACCGCTTGTCGCTACGTTGCGCCGTTTTCGAGATCTCAGGGGGGGTTGTTTTCAACCCCCCCCCCCTGCATTTCGTGTTCGGCTCAGACCCGCTGCAGTGCGCGTGTTAACTGAGGGCCATCACTTTCATGCCAATTCATTAACGTTTTTGAAGGTGGGAGGGTCCCTTAAGTGCTGTTGATTTGCAAGCATAAGTTAATGTGCTTCTTGCAGCATTTGATAAGGTTTTTGTAGGTCCAAAGTTGATGAACCAAATTTAGTTCAAAGAACATCTTTAATTTATTTAGTGATTGAAGTCTGAAGCCTTGTTGAATTCAAAATATATGTTTAAACAATTAAAACTAAAGCTTAAAGCCCTACATTAAACCTTTTGTAGAATTTTGGGGGCAAAAGATGACAAACTCTGTAAAATATAGCTTTTTTATTCCTATGCATGACATGATTTCTTGCCTGCAGGTTGGCAATGACATCTGGCTTCTACAGTTATGCCAAGCTGGCAAAGAATGCCACTGAATATGCTCGAAGGATGAATCGACTGAGCAGCCGCATTTTTGGCGAGATGGTGCCTACAGCTAACTCCCAAAGGTCAATCAAAGTTATGCAGCTGCTTTCTGAACAGCCACGGTACAAAGATCCTCAACTTGTGGACTACTATCCTCGCTTTCGCGAGACCTACTATCTAATGCTCCATCTGCGAGAACTGGGCCTGTACCGTGACGAGCATTGGGACTTCAGTGACGAGATGAAGCGACTGCGTCGGTTGCGTGGCAAGGGACCACCGCCCAAGGGACAAGGAAAGCGGGCTTCCAGGTAGCGGTGATACGCTTGATGTAAACTTTTGCATCTCAGATGCGAGTGCTTGTTTGTAACATAAATGTCTTGTGCGTATGGATGCTCGGTAAATGTATGCAACCTTTGGTTGTCTTAGCTAATACAATGATTTTTTTTTTGTCCAAGAAGCGGGAACATTTGCATCAGTTGTTTTTATCGCATTAAAATGCGTCGTTACCCGGTTCCGACTTACGGTAGCTCGGTCCGGTGACGTGAACCGGTGCCAGCGGGACTTGATTGGGATGGGTCGAGAGCGGGACTCGGGCTGGCAGATGGAGTCCATCGCTAAGCGAGCCGCGGGGTCGATATTAATGAGTGCGTCCTCAAGGACCTTTACCCACCGCTGGGCCACGGACGCATACTCCTGCTGGATAAATGCGTCAAAACAAGGGCAGCGAAGCGAAGTGGTGTTAGAATAGACGTGGCAGTGAACTCACTGATGACCGCGTCTCATCACAGTGTGGGCGCAACAGTACGCAGCAGTCTCAACAACAGAGTCGGGCTGCTGTGATCTGACGATATCTCTTATGTTGGTAGTTGGTACAATGGGAAGACTCGCCCCGCTCTTCCAACCTTGCTTCCCGCTTGTAAAACTCCGCCAATGTTCGTGTTGAAACGGTGCTTTATGCATGACAGCTGTACGACGGTATTCGGCAACCCACTATTGTTCTTGTATAAGCTGCATCGCTTACAGTTACTAGTAGACCACCCACTGTGAACGAAACCCACGTCAACAGAAGATCTCACAAAACAGGAGCGCTCTATTAACAACAGTGTATTTGCACCGTTCACCGGCTCGGTGAAGATGCTGGATGCCGACCGTTCGGCATCACTACGGAACTGGCTGTTCGTCAGTGATGGCTCGCCGGAACGGGACAGTGGCCACAAACATAGCACAGTACTGTCATTCCCAGACCATGCGTACCAACAGAACAAGATATGGCAAATCAGATGTATCGAGACTTGCCCGTCGTCACGACTTTCCAGGCGGTTTTCAAGAAAAAAAAGGATGACACAATCAGCATATGCATGACCATTCCACCGGTGGATCATTAGCTAACAACAGAATGTTTCACTTGAAACATTCTGTTAATAGCTAATGGACAACGCATCTCGTGTCACGGGCCGTACCGTATCCGACATAGCTATTAATACAAAACCAACAGTGAAAATAAATTGGCGGATAACATTTACATCAATTCAGGTCTAAAACTCACACACGATAGTCTTCGTAAGTGTGTCACACCCCTTGTTTCTCCATTCCGGAAACTTCTGACGGACGGTGGGGCGGCCACAGGCAGCGCTGAGATCCGACCGCACACCTCACTGGGGCACGCACAACGCGACAACAAGCTCAGCAGACACACCGAACTCACACACCTTTTCGCGTACAAAAATACATACATCACGCGACATCGTTAACACACCGCAAACACTTCGACTGAGGCGCAAAGACAGGATGAATGAACAAATGAATACAAAAGGAGCGGCACCCACCCTGAACACTCGGCAGTCACGACTGCAGCTGCTGAGTTGGCATTGTTATGAGGCAGCGTGCCCGTGGTCGCGGCTCTATCCGTAGCACAGGTCCGCGGGCATTATACCACCACTGGGTCAGGCCCGCCGCTGCCCGTGACGGCCAGCTGGAGCCACATAATGACGTCACTGGGAGACTGGCGACGGCTGCAGCATGGACTGCTGATGCTGCTGGTGCTGCTGGTGATGCTGTGGTTGTTGTTGTTGCTGCTGCTGTTGTTTCTGCTGTTGCTGCTGATCCTGCTGCTGTTGCTGCTGTTGATGATGCTGCTGCTGCTGCTGTTGTTGCTGCTGAAGTTGATGGTGCTGCTGTTGCTGCTGCTCGTCCAGCCCAGGGATCTCATCCAGGTTCAGATGTGTGATGAACCGGAGCCGCAGCTGCAGGGCGGGTCGCAGCGCGCGGATGACCCGCTCCGCCTCCGCCTTGGTCGAGTCGCCCGTGTGCATGTACTTGACGTGGTAGAGCAGATCGCTGATCTCGTCTATGTAGCGCAGCTCTCCGCTGGCCCGGTCCACCTCCTCCAACATGTCGTACAGCGTCTTGGTCAGCTCGAACACGGACGTCGTGTTCAGACGGTCCAGGAACGGCGCCACCAGGTGGCACACGTATATGAACTGGGTCTCGGTGCGAACCGTCTCGCGCAGTCTGGTGCGCAGGCCCGCCAGGAGCGCAGCGATCTGGCCCTGCGTGGCGTGGTTCCAGAAGGCGTGCGATGCGGCCAGCAGCAGCAGCGGCTCAGTGCACTGCAGGACGGCCAGCCGCGCCTCCAGGCGCAGCTCCTCGAACGGGTCGGCGTCGGCCGGCAGGGCGGACAGCGCCGAGAGGACGCGCTCCGTCAGCGCGCGCCAGTACGGCTCCGGCAGCCAGGCCAGCAGCACGCCCAGCGCGTTGAACCAGCTCGACAGCTGCGCGCGCGGCACCGTCACGTACCCAGTGAGCAGTACCTCCAGCAGGCTGGAGACGGCCTCTGCCGGCGCCACCGGCAGCGCCATCAGCTCCACACAGCTGCAGTAGAGCGCGTGCGCGCTGGCGTTGGGGAACTCGTTGAAGCGCCACTCGAGGCTGGGGAAGGCGGGCCGCTCTGCCAGCGTGTCCACCAGCCGGTCGAGCAGCCGGCGGTAGTAGTCGAGCTGCGGCCGCCACGGCGCGTCGCCGCGCTCCTCGGCGGCGGGCGCGCTGCTCAGGTACGTCTCGAACTCCTCCGTCAGGCACCAGCCCTTGGGCCGCACGTCCGCCTGCGACTGGATCACCACCGTCACCAGCTTGCGCTTGATGTTGGGCAGCTCGGAGAGAGGCCGCTCGTAGTAGTGCAGCGTGTTGTAGAGGAACGTCACCGGCCGCTCTGTCGGATAGAACAGGAGGGCCGGGTCACACGGAGGAGCCTCGGCACAGTGCTGGAAAGGGCGGGTTAATAGCCTAAGTGAACGATTCCTATTAATAGGAATAAGCCTAAGACACAGGGCCCTAAGTGTAAACACAGTGGAACTGCTAACAGCGGAAGAGAGAAGGTGAAATGAACAATGCAGACGGCGAAAGATTGAGTGAGTGAAAAGAAAAAGGGAGAAAAAAAGCACCTCGTGATGACAACTGAGTCAGTTTGCGTCTGTTCAGAAATCAAGCCCGCCCTCTCACCGTGGAACTTGTAGAGACTGCCCATCTGGTCCAGGATGAGTCCGATCGAGTCGCCGAGCATGTGCGGGCACTCGAGGAAGCGCTGGATCATCAGATCGAACACGGGCAGGAAGCGCAGGCACACGTTGCTGAAGTAGACCGGCAGGCTCTGGTAGGTCTGCGCGCTCTTGCCCTGTTGTTCGGCCAGCACGTCGTCGGGCGCGAACCGCTCCGGGAACGCCGAGTGAAACGCCAAGTGCTTCTCGTGCCTGCCGGTGGAGGATGCATCATCGTAGCGTTGTATCACACCAGTAGTAAGATATGAATGTTACCAAAGCCCGTGACAAAGCTGAAGATGAGCTGGAAACGGTTTGGCTTTCGAGAATGGACGAGACAGTGACATTTCAGTATCGAAATGAGGGAAGACGAGGCCAACAGAAGATAACCAATTCTCAACATACAGTTTATCCCAGCATTGACTGGGCATCTTATCCTTCGGTAGCACACGACTCACCAGTTGTCCTGCTCCCAGTAGCGCGGGTCGTTCTCGGCGACAAACTTGCGCACTCGCTCGATGAACTCAGAGGGTGGTGTCAGCATGAGCCGCTGGATGAGGATCGAGCACAGCCGCAGCTCGTTTGCCTCGTTCGGGCGGAGTACCTGGGATTCAGAGGGGGGGGGGAGGACAATCAGACGAACGTCATACATGGTACGTCATACAGACCATCAGTAGGCGATTACGGGGTCGCACTGGCAGTGAAGCGGTACAACGCATTAGGATATCATGCTTATACGTTTTAGCTACACATCACCAGGAATGACAGACGACGGACCCTAGGTATCTCGGAAAACGGCAGTGCGTACGGTATACAGCCGCAAGGGATGTATTGATTCAAGTCTTGGAGAGGACGCTATAGCGCAGCGCAATCTGATCTTAATAATTGCAACTTCTTCGAAAAATTCCACCCCTTCACTTACCAGACAGAGGATGAGCCGGTCGATGGGGACGATGTTGTACGTCCAGACCAGCTTGTGTACGCCGTCCACGCACTTCTTGAAGAAGGCGCCGTCAGTGGAGGTGCTGAGCACGTGGATCAGGTAGTCGCAGAACGTGCGGATGTGTACGGTGAGTGCCTTGGGACCGCCGCGCTCCAGAACCCTGAGGGGGAACAGCACACCGACGATATAGAATGAGGACGTGCAATCAATGATGACAAAGCAATGCGGGCCTGGCGATGCAGGACAACCAAAGGTGGAATACAACAGTGAAGTGATAGGTCTTAACTTAAGTTTTGTATTTAGTCAATTTAGTACAAGAGAGGGAAGTAGAACAAGGCCATCAGACGGTCAGACTGACTGTGAGAAGGGACTGCAGTGGCCTGTGTGACAGCTGTCACAGTGCGGCCGTACACGAGCCACGGCAGACTACTGACTTGTATGCGATGCTGGTGATGCGGTTGGTCTCGAGCAGCATCTGCCACAGGAGGCACACGAAGAACGGCTGCGGTCCCTGGATGGTGAAGTGGCCGATTATGTCGTTCTCGTTGTTCATCGACATGTACTTGCGGTACTCCTCATTCACCATGCTCTGTAACATAGCGGCATTATGCTCCTTAGTTTATGCTGCTGGGTCATATTTGTGAGAAAGGAGTGAATAAGGTATAATAAGGACAATCATCCCTAATCTCGCCACACTGTCCTAGCGCACGCGCTCACCTATTGTTTGTAGCGGCTCTCTAAGCTTGAGCATACACTGATGTGCATTCTCACAAAGGACACCATTCGTTCTTGTTCATTGAAATTGAAATTGAATACCATTGAAAGCTTGTTCTATATCTAGCTATAACTGTCTGTGCCCACCTTGAGCTGCTGTTTGTCGTCGCGCTGGCCGCCGTACTGGGCGAATAGCTCGCGCACGGGCGCCGGGAACCGCTCGAGCGTGTGTCGCGGCCAGCCGTGCGGCGTGGCCTGCAGCACGGCGCTGAGGATCTCGCGGCACCACACCAGACCCGTGACGCCGTCGTTACCTGGCGTCACGGCACGGCGACACGCGCGCACGGCGTCAGTGAGTGTGTAAGGGAAGGGGGGGAGGGGGGACATCTACAATTTACTCGTCGCATAAATGCTTAGGACCTTATTGAATATGTATACTTTAAATAAAAGATTAATTAATATGTAGCTTAAAAAATTATAAAATAAAATCTACTGCAATTGAGTGGCACCAATCGCCCACTATTGGCAGAGCGGAAGTTAAACCACAAGCGTAACATCAAAATCTAAAAAGAAAGATATTCATCCGTCATTAAAAAGAAGCAACGCGGTACAAAGATCACAAACGCCAACCTGGCCGGAAGAGTATATATGATACTTTGTAGACAGTAGACGGTACATTATAGGGTCATGCGGCACGACGATCTATTAAAGATGCAAGTAGATAAAAGGTGTCAATCAAAAGACGTGTATAGTCGGTCAAATATGTATCTTTCCCGGCCGCCAAGTGGCGCTACGGTCTGGATTCGATAGTTGGCTGAGCCCACACCCCAGCTGCCCTGGCGGCTCTGGCGGCCCTGTGACGTCACGCGCGGGGGGCGGAGCTACACGGCGGCCGGCTGGAGAGTGACCGCAGACGCACTGGACAGCCTCGCCGCCGGGTGCTCCGGCGGGTCTGGCCGGGAGAGGCGAGCAAGCGGATGCGTTAGGAATCTAACGAATGTGAGGGCAGCGCGATGGTCTAATGATGGCTGTGCTTTCATGCGCCGTGTAAATTGTAGACTGAGTGCTATGAGCTATCAAAGGATTATCTGGTGTTTCAACAGGGGTCGCTGACCTAAAAATTAAGATGGTTGCTCTTGATACGATCGAATGCTTGGTGATATGATGATTAGCGCAAGAGAAATATTTAATCGAATTATGACCGGTTATTTACGACCGGCCAATTATTTATTTATGACCGGCCAACTTGATGTGCGATTTCTGCAACCGTTCTACCCTCATCACTCAACTGAATAATTCTCCCCTTTTCAAAAACGGTGCAGTGATACGGCATCTCAAACCTAGAGCGACTACACTCAAGTTCAAGCTAACGGTCTCCACTCTCCAATTCAGATACCTATCGAAACCTTTCCGCGACCCGGTGCTGTGGCTCAATCAGTGGGCCAGCTGGCCGCAGACCATACCCGCAGGGCATGAACCTTTGACCATATTAGGTCAACACGCCGTGGCCCCAGCCCGCTCGCCAGGTCCGCGCTCATTGGCCGACGCGGCAACCGCACAACCTGTCCCCTCCCCTCCGTAGTACTCGCAGCGGCCGGCGGATTCAGCCAAGTTACCGACCTGCCCAGCGTGGGGTGGGCCGGCCGGGAAAGATACATATTTGACCGACTATACATGCTGATCAACGGACAACGATAGAGTGGACAACTGCAGAGCTGTAGCTGAGGAAAGGGGTGCATTCGAAGACCGAAACATCAACTAGGCGGACGAGATATCCTCTGTAATGCAAGTAAAAAGTCAGAGTGTGAAATGAGTCAGATCTGCAAGATAAAAAGACGATCACGATATGCAACGTAATTACAAGGCACACCCATCACCAGGCTGGCAATAGGCAGCATGATTGCCTAAGAATCACAAAGCAGACGCCAGACGGTCACAAGATGGCAGCAATATCAGGGTAAGCGCTGCCGGAGACTCCATGCTAAGGCCATGCATCAATGAACAGAATCGCAGCATCGTAAGTGCGAGAGAAAAGGAGAGAACAGCCCGAAAACGGTAAGAGAGGAGAGAACAGGTATGGGAGACATAGTGAGAATCGGAAAGATGGAGAAAGGAAGATAAGAGCATTATAAGAGTGTGAGAGAGGAGGAACGAAAAAACACTGGGGACTAGAGAATGTAAGTAGACGGGCCGGAGTAAGGGCGGCGGCGGCAGCGGCAGCAATGGACACGCCACAGAGGCAGTATCGGACAGGCTGTAGCGGCGGACGGTCTGCGCTCAGCGGGCCAGCCACACACAGCGCTGCAGCGGCCGGCGGCCAGCCGCCGACCCGTCCGGCCCGCGGCGCCAGTCCTACCTGGCCGGGAGTCGCAGCCTGCGGGACACACACGCAGACACACGCCAGGTCAGCGGCGGCCAGCGCCTCACCACAACCGCCATCCGTCGGCAAAGCTGGCAGACACGCGCACCCACACATACACACGGGACGCAGCGGCGGCCGCAGACCAGCCAGCAGAGCGCACAAAGCCAGCAGCACGGCCCCGGGTACTTCCCCGGCGGGTGGGGGAGGGGGGGGGGGGGCAACAGCGGACTACCCACCTGTGATGTGTAGCGCGCGCACTATGCTCAGCACCAGCGCCCGGTTCAGCTCCTCAGAGTCGGACGACACGATCGACTTGGGCTCGTTGATGAACCGCGCCAGCTGCGCAGGGATCTCAGAGTTGCCCAGACCGGAAATGATGCGCAGTGCAGTGCTCTCCAGGCTGGAGGCGACACACACACACACACGATAAACACTTCATGTGAGAGCTTTGCTCCATGGTCCACACAGACACATTCTAATGTATGAAGTCAATGAGTGCTCTCCTCGAGACTCATCGCAGTCTCACCATCAGAAACTACGTCTTTCTAAATAGCAACTTCCGGCTAGTATATTTGGAATGGCTCCTCAAGTAACTTCCAACTGAAGATGCATAAGGTGAACACTAACAATTACTTTCACAGGCGTCATTATTTTACCAAATGTTCAATTTAATGTTACAGGCGCGACCGCGGTCACACGAGGCCAATCATTCATCAGCTGTGTGTGGTTAATCTGCGGCTCACCAGAGGTGCATCTATGTGTAGTTGGTCTGTCATGTACTGTGCGTTGGCTCACCAGAGGTGCATCTGCGTATGGTTGGTCTGCGGAGCGTTGGACAGACTGTGCACCGTGCTGAGCAGGGTGAGCCGGTAGTGGGGCTGCACGTGCCGCAGTCGGCAGCAGAACATCTCCAGCAGAGTGTGTAGGATGCCCAGAGCCTGCGCCTTGAACACGGTCGGCAGCAGGGTACCTGAGGGACGGGGGGAGGGATAGCTGTTCATATCGGCCGCACGTTCCGACACAGACACACTACTAGTCTGCGTAGCAGCTGGTAAAATAGACCGAGCCGAACTGCAGACACAGAGTAGACCAGTTCAGACACGACCGCTGCGTTACGTACTGGTGAGGTTTTTGATGCCCAGCGTGTCGATCTCGGGGTAGACGAGCAGCCGGGAGTAGGTCTCAATCAGCGCCGGCGGCAGAGCCACCGTGGCGCCGCCCATCTTGTGCTGCTGCGGCGCCATCTTGATGTGGTGCGAGATAGAGTGGATGAGCGACATCTTGGCGTGGATGGTGAGCGAGTCGAGCATGGCCATGCTGAGCGGCTGGGTGGGCGCGCTGGCCGTGCAGTTGGTGCCCGGCATGCTGACCGTGGTCCGCTGCTGACCTCCGCCCTGACCGCACACACGAAGAACGTTGTACAATGTTGCCCGGTTATACATGACACACGAGCGCACAGCGGTCTGGTTACAAACATATAGAGAGTCATGGTTCACTAGTACGGGTACACCACTTAACACTCATGGTACCGGCGTCGAGCGTTAGAAAATTATCGTCATTATCAATAAAATTCCAAAAAATGCAGCTAACCCTGTTTCGTCCGGAGTTGACGACCGTTATCAACCACAGGCCATTATATACCTAAATCGTTGTTCCTCTCTTTCCTCTCTGTTGTTCCTTCTATAGTTAGTCCAATCTCTCTCTCCCATCGTTTTCCCTATCTCTCCTCACCATGATTGCCTCAGTGAGCACGTTCTGCATGTTCTCCACGTTGCAGACCAGCGCCAGCCGGAAGTCGCGCTCGAGCGCCGTGGGCCGTCCCATGGCGGCCAGCTGGTGGAGCAGCTCCAGGCGCGGCTGGAGGGCCGTGGGCAGCGCGCGCATGGGCAGCTCCACCTTCTCAGCCTGCGCCTTCTTCTGCAGGTGCGTCCAGATGCTGACGGCGGCCATCTGGATGGCGGCGTCTGCGCGCTTCCAGTCGGGCACGGGCGCCGCGCCGGCGTCTGCCGCGTACAGGTCCTTCAGCAGGCCGAGCAGCGGCAGGAAGCCCGACAGCTGGCGGCGGCGGGAGAACACAGATACACCCGGTCACGGCGGGACGAGCAGTGTGCGGACAGAGACGAGTCAGGATTACCGGAGTTTGATCGAAGTACTTTCTAAATGTTTTATAAATAGTCCTAAAAAACCTTCTGCCGATTGCCAGCCTAACACGGAAGCCTCATCTCATTAGCGTAGGCCAAGATATGGGCAATAATAAAGCACTGAAGACAGCAAGCAACACCAAAAAAGATCGTATAGCAGAGGCCATTAGCAGCATGAGTCTATTAACTGCACAAACACATCCCAAATCTCTCACAGTTTTTGCACGGACGGTAGCGTTCAATGGCCTTACCGCATTTTTTGATATGCTCCCGGAGATGTAGTGAAGGAGAATCCACATCAGGTGATCTCTGCTGTTGTCCCATTTCCGTCCCGTCAGCTGCAGAGGAGTGGGCACACGGATCAATCACCAAAGTCTGAGACTGAGACAGTGCATTGTTCAAGACGGCAAACAGCTCGTAACCCGATCAATACAGCGCACACTGCCTGACTGAAAACTAGGCTTGTGTTTTCGAAGAGGGCAATACATTGATATAGGCCGATGTCCCATGCCGTAAATCGTTTATAAATCCCGAAAGGGATAGTGAAAGAACATGCATGAGGTTGTCAGGGGGCAATCGAAATAATCCTAAACAAAATTTGCAACATGCATTTTCATAAATCCCTTGTGACTGAATGCACTGAGTGACACCACGCACTTATTGAACTCACTGATCCAAGCTCATAGTGTGGTGGGCGGTGTTCCGGGGCAAAGTCGTTACAACGACCGCTACCTACCTTAGTGCGCAGTTTCAACATCAGCTGGGAGAAGTCGGCAAAGTAGAACACGACGAAATAGATGAGCTGAGCCGAGATGTGTTGCCACAGCTGGGCGGCCCGCTCCCGGAAGTCGTCCGTGGTGTTGGCTTCCAGTTGCTCCATGGAAGTCACGATCAGGTCCACGAGAACGTCTTCCAGAGTCGGGCAGCGCTGCTTGTGCTGCGAATATTGAGCATGGTCATCAGTTGTTACAAGGGACGGAGCAAACAGCCACCAGATGAGGGAGGCGCATCAGTGTTCCACCCACAGCAGCCTCCATCCCGTACCCGACACGGAGCCAATGTACACACCCGACTGCTCCAATTTCCAAATGGGGTCAGCCTGATGTGAGCAGTCGGGCCGCCAGTCTCAACGTACTATCAGATCGTAGTGGCATGATGACGTGTCAATTACTGACTTATCATAGCAATCCCACACACTCCTATACTCGAGGGCAGCGCTTTTCGAGGAGCGCTGCGGCCCGAAGGTTGGGACTTTGAATTATGAAAAACGCCCGCCCGCCGCAAAACGCAAACACCGCAAAACGCGCAAAAGGCACGCCCGAAACGCCAACGCAAGCGTCGCAAAAAAGAAACAAACAAATAAACGCCCGACCAGCGCAAACCGCAAAAAAAAAAACGCAAAACGCCGCAAAAAATAAAACCGCCAGCATCGCACGCACGCTAACCGCCAACCGAAAACGCCTAAAAAGCGCCCAACCGCCGCCAACCGCAAACAAATTGAACACCGCAAACGACGCAAAAAAAGAAAACCGCCCGCATCGCTCGCCCGCGCCCCGCCAAACACAAACACCGCAAAAAGTACAAAACGCCCGCCCACCGCAAAACGCAAACACCGCAAAACGCACGCCCGAAACGCCAACGCAAACGTCGCAAAAAAAAACATACAAATAAACGCCCGCCCGCCGCAAACCGCAAAAACGCCGCAAAAAATAAACCGCCCGCATCGCACGCACGCTAACCAACCGAAAACGCCTGAAAATCGCCCGCCCGCTGCCAAACGCGAACACCGCAAAAAGTGCCCGGCCGCCGGAAACCGAAAGAAATAACACCGAAAAGGACGCAAAAAAAACGCCCGCATCGCCCGCCCGCCCGCCGCCAAACACAAACACCGCAAAAAAAAACACAAAACGCCCGCCCGCCGCAAAACGCAATCACCGTAAAACGCGCAAATTGCACGCCCGAAACGCCAACGCAATTAAGACCAAAGTAACGCGAGACGTTACATGCATTATACATACCTCACAGTAATTTATTAATGCATGAAAATGATGAGATTCTTTAGTTTTAGCCACTTCAGGCAGTTAATGGCGCACTTAAGACAAAAATGGCGCACAACAGCCTATTTTTGTCTCGTTTCATATGTGTCGCTGCCTAGTTTTGTGCACTACGGTTGCAAGTTTCGAAGAAATTGGCCCGTCGAAATAAATACGCGTAATATTCCTCGACTTTAGCCACTGTAGCTTAAGTGGCGCACTAGAGACAAAAACGACGCACATGAGTTTGTTGTATTTGTAGCGCCGTTTGTGGCACAGGTCATTTTAATGCATCAATGTTGCAATTTTCGTCGAAATCGGCCCATAAATGGTAAAGTTATGGCCAAAACGCCTTACATTGAGAGTGCACGTGGTCACTTGAGGTGGGGTGCCACGTGCCACGTGTGGCCTTAAGACATAAAGCGACCACCCTTTTGTACCAGATGAAAGGGGTCGTCAGTGCCCATGGGTAGACTTTCGGGTGCGCCACCATTGTCTCCCAGCGGCCGATCAAACTTGGCCAATCTTTAAATTAGGGCTTACCTCACTATCGGTCACAATATCTCCGGAATGGAGAAACCCGGGCGGCCACGTGTTTGACACGTAGTAGACCCAACACAATTGGTCATTATCGCAACCGACTTGGAACTCTGGCTCAAACCCATGCAGTGAGGTTATCACCTGAGCATAATTATGCACCAATGGCTACCTTTCCCAAAATGCTACACCCACGTGGCGCACGTGCGAAAACACGTGCACCATGTGATGAGGTGTACAACTATCCTAGGGCATCCCCTTGACGACTGACCTCGATTGGTTCCGCTGGCGCGCATTGTTTGCGCGGCACAGAACATCATACCAGCAGTGGTCAAATTTTCACGGAGGTGGTCCCCTCAAACAAGTGCGGGGCGTGCACGTGCATTTCAATCGCCCCATATATGGCCTATGCCACCTGGTAGGCGACATGTGGGTGCATATCATACTGAAACATTTTTAAAATCTAACGTGGAAATTTTGAGCAAAATCAATTTAAGTAATTTTTTCAAGAAATCCCATTGACTTAACACGTGAAAATTTGTGCGCGTGCCAAGTGCAAAAAAGTTAATTATATTTCAAGCGATTGACATTGACGAACGTACCCCCTGACCGTCTACCGGTACTCAAAAAACAAAGAAAATCTATCGAGCCGATTTTGAGCAAATCGAGAAAACCCGTTTTGGCCCATTTCGTAACGTTAAACCAATGGCGGCTGCACGTGCAATTTGCACCCCCTTCCCGAAGCCGCCGAAACGCCGCCGCCGGCTCATGGTAGATGCCGGGGCGGCCACCCAGCACATAGAAGCCCATCGCATTACAAGCACCCGTCTGCGAGAAATACGATGCCAAAAATCCACCTAATGTTGAAGCCTATGGGCCTAAAACACGTGCACGTGCCACGTGCAAGAAAAATAATTATATTCTTAGCTGAGGGTGTTTCGTGGTAGATAATCTGCGGGGGCAGCTGCCCTGAAAATTTAATCAAAATCTATCGGTTCGTGTGCAAACGGTGCAAGGTGCCCCAATTCGCTGCACCAAACACGAATCCAATCCCGAAATGGAAACACCCTCAGTTTGTTTTTCAATAGAAAAACACAATTCTAAAGAATAGTGTTTGTCTAATGAAGAAACAACCTTCGGGTACGCGTTGTATCACTCCATCCGTCCCTTCACCGCTACCCCCCACACGGTCTCCCACCAGCCTTTCAGTGCCGCTTGTCGGTTCGCTATCAGAAGCGATGTGCCGCCACGCACCTGTTTCTGCAGTCCGAGCACGGAACAGACCATCTCTCGGCTGTAGGGCTGACGCACAATGTACATCAGGAGCGCCTTCTGTGGCTGCAGCACCGCCCGCTCGTACGGCAGGTTTCCCTTCACCTGGAACCGCAGCGTGACGGGGTCCAGTTTCCACGAGTTGGCCGGCTGAACTGTGGAGGGGAGAAGAGATGTCAGACGGGCCAGCCCGAGAAGTCAGTATCCTAACACGTAGGTCCGACGAGCCTACAAAATAGAAAAGACTGTGCCACACATCATGAGAGAACCAATGAAAGACTGCCTTTCGGACGGACCAAGCGTTTCCGTAACTTGCAACACCCCACAAACGGGTGCTGCAACGGACCACGATGATGGCAATTTATCAGGGAAAATTAGCAAGTAGTTGTAAGGATGCCCGACGGATGTAACAACGTCTAATCGGTCGGCGGGCCACGTACCGGCGTGCTCGACGATGGGCAGCATGTACTGGCGTCCCATGATGGTCACCATCTGTGCCGTGCTGCGGAACGATCCGATGAACCCCTCCAACAGGCCGGCCAGCTTCTGCAGACACCCGGAGGGAGACGGTGTTAGCAGTCAGTACGCAGTCTACACCACGTCAAGGTGTCAAGATACGTCAGCTGCAGATGGCTGACAGCGCATGCCAGCAGACTGTCGACAGCAGACGGCTGACAAAACAAGGCCGAGATGGCGTAAGGAGGCAGTCTAATGCCTTATAAACCCACTATAAGCCATTCAATAGACGGACAGCCTGCTGGTAGGCTCGTCTTCGTCGTTGTTCTCCCTCCAGCCCCCTAGAGGGACCACGGTAACACTATGACTGCATTCAGACCTAGTGCCGACTGCAAAATATCGGTTTCAGCCCCACGCCCTACCACACTTTTCTCATACAGCGCAGCAAGGACGTTTGGGACCCAACCGCAGTCTGAACCATCCTTTGTTCTGTATACAGCACAGAAACACACCTTCTACTGCAGCTCCATGTATGGGACCTCATCGTGACACATATCATCTCTTTGATTATGACGTCCTCTGTAGTGCCTACTCTGTCCTACCGGTTGAGGTGCGCCTCTGTCTCACCCAGTGCGGGAACCCCTTGCAGTCCGGGTAGGAGCGCATGATCTCGTTGACGATGAAGTAGGCCGGCAGCAGGGCCGCCTCCCGGTCGAAGATGTGCTGTATGACGCCGTAGATGGCGTGGAACTGGTCCGACATGTCGTCACCAATGTCCGCCGGCAGCTGGCGAGCCCGATCCAGGCAGAGCTGTCGGAGAGAGGTCAGCACGCGTCACCGACCGACGCCGCTATCGCACGCCGCTCTCTCACCATCAGGCCTCAGCCACTGTACTTTGTCCGGACTCCTGAGACACACGGGCGTTCTTAGTGACGACCGAGAAGTTTATCGCCAGTTTAACCGGCAGCTTGCGACGGCCGATCATTGCACAGCTGACATGTCCGTCAACGAACGCACAAACAAGCTACCTTCAGCTTGTAGGTTTTTAGGTAGATTTGTAGGAACAAACTTACAAGGTACCTTGAGCAGCAAGTATTTTCAGCGAAGGCCAGCCAGCCTCAGTGCCTGACCCACCTTCATTATTTCGCGCACGCCCTTGTAGTCGACCTTGTGGACGATTCTGCGTAGCAGCAGGAACGTCTCCGTCCAGAGGTCTCGACGGCTCACGGCCAGCTGTTTGTTTTCGAGCAGGTTATCGCACAGAAGCCTGTGGAGCAGGAGAGTTAGATACAAGCTGAGCGACCTCATACGTTTGGCTTACTGTGAGCAGATTGTACAGAAATGATACATGATGTTCGGTAGTGTTGGGTCGACTTACAATTGGGCGAGGGCGAGCAGCTCGCGGCACCACTTCCAGATGACAACGAACTTCTGGCGTGAAGTTCGAACCCTCACTATTACAAAGGTGAACGAATGCGATGTTCTGCTTCAGTCCATTTCGGATGAAGCTTCATTAAGCAGGAAATCTCTCGGGCCGTGGCTGTCACCAGTTTGGATAGCAGCAATGCTTAATCTGCTGGAGCATTGTTGACTCAGACACCCAATGTCTCTTGCGGAGAAGCAGCAGCGGTGAACGAGAAGAACAACATATCACGTACCTATATCAGACGTGCAAACTAGGATATGGCTGGTAAAAGTACTCACTTGGCAGGCAGTGCTCCCGAGAGAACGCAGCGCTCCAGAACGGCGAGCAGCTTCCGCATCCGCTTGCCCGACTGCTCGGACACCTGACCTGTAGGGGAAGGGTTGGTCGGGACACGAGGAAAGCACACATGTCTGCATCCGGGCCCGACAGTACAGTAAGCGAGGAAACACAGCGGGTGATGGAACGCAGGCTGCTCGAGAAATTCCTGGTTCATGTGCAACACCTACACCAGGATTTTTTGCTAATACAGTAAACTTTATGCACTTTTGTCACCTGCATTCTGCATAAGTCTCTGTGTAATTGCGTGTGGATGACTGGTCACGCGTCACTGCATTAGGTATTGTGTTCACTGACCAATAAAGGCCAGCAGTATTTGCTCCTGCTCCTCCTGCTGTGTGCTGACCAGAAGCCGTGACAGCTCCTGCTCAAAGGTCTGCAGCTTGGAGTTCTCATTCTCATCATGGTGCACCAGGTAGCTGTTTAGTGCTTCCTCGACGGCCTCAACACACTGAAATGCGGCGGGGTGCAGGATTGTCAGACCAAATATCCTATGTATTTACTTAAAAATGATTAACGGCAGAAGAATTCCTGAAACCTGTATTCAAAACACATTATTTAGAGAGCATTGATAGCATGCACTACAGGCTCAGTGTTAGCATTCTTTGGCTATATTTACAGGTACCTATGCCAACAAGCCATACCTATCCCTATGCCTTCTGCCTTTAATAACATTTATTGTCCTCTGCACTTTCTGCATTCTAAGATTGAGCACTCACCAGAAAATCGTTCACAAGACCAGCCACCTTTTCCTTGGCTAATGATGGATTTGCAGAAGTCATTTTGTCAGCCAAGGGTTTTCTCAGTGTAAGAAGAAACTCATGGTTTGCCTTGCCTCAGTATCTGTGGGCAAAGTGGCATAACGATTGGGAGGATGAAATCGTACTCCCATTGGGAATGGTGAAAGCTTATCCCAGCCATTACTGATCATCAACCTCTCCAAGATCTTGTGTCATATACATGGACAAATCACATGAATGAGCGGCCGCAGGCCAGATTGGAAAACATCTATACACTACGCCGAGCGCCCGCGAGACCCTCTTGCGCCGAAATTCTTTTGCACTGAAATTTCTGCATGATTTTCACTGAGAATTGGGTGCCCATTTGTGCACAAGTTGACACTCGCATGTGTAGGGGGGGGGGGTCGGATGGACCCCCATGGTTTTTCGCGAATAACTCGTGCAAAAAGCGGCCGATCGCGACGAAACTTTCAGTACCCTAGAGTTTGATCAATTTTACACCTACCCTGAAAATATCATGACCCTGACCCAAATGACCTTTGACCTGTGACCTATTTTTCGAGACCATGTTTGGCCGAAATCGCGATTCAGCATGTCAGCTCACACTATCCGCGCATTTCCAGTCTTTGTGTGATTGTAAACGTCCAACCGTGTGAAATGATGTTCTTCCCATGCATTACAGTGGGTGTCAAGGGCACGCGAAGGTCAGGTCAAGGTCATTGGCCTTTGATGACCTTGGTTAACTTTTCCGAGTTTTGCATGTATCTAGGGTGGTTTTTGGAGCTGATTTCGAATCTACCACCCATTGGATGATTTACCAAGTAGTTTTGGTTCCTTCGTAACATGCTACGACGTCGTCAGTGGTAGTTGACACCTACTATGGATAGCCGGCAGGACGCCTACTGGTTGACCTGACCCTGACCCGACCATGCCTAAATGCATGAAGACATCATCTGTGATCATTCAGAACTAACATAAAATACATGATCAGCACTCCGAAAAAAAAAAACAAACAGCTTCACTGTACGAAGTTCTAGCAGGTCCCCATTTTTCCAGACTTTTGGGCCATTGACCTGACCTGGAATGACATATGACCTTAAATTAGGTATCGCCGGCTTCCTCTCTTCGCGGGCAACACGCTCGCTTTTTACGCGAAGCTCTAGCTCAATCAGGGGCCGAAACGGGGGGGGGGAGGGATCCAACCGACCCCTCCCCTACACGCTAGACGCTGGCAAATGCCGCACACATGCGAGGGTTAAGTAACTTTTATGTAAAGCACATGTGCACATCCACCAACCAAAGCTATATCAACCAGGCAGAGCGTTCCGGCCCAGTAAACATGACGACGTCGGCCCGACGTCGGGCCGAGGCTCGGCCCGACGTCGGCCCAACGTCGGTTCAACCTCGGCCCGACATCGGCTGGACGTCGGATATGCCCGCATGTTCCGACGTCCAGCCGAAGTCCAGCCGACGTCGAGCCGACGTCGGGCCGAGATCGTTTGCCGAGGTTGACGAGATCGTTTGTCGTTGGACCGACGGGGCCGACGTCGGCATGTTTATTGGGACAACGCGCCAAAAATATCAACCGGCGGCGGGATTCGAGCCCCCCAGTCGCCGACGTCGGCATGTTTACTGGGACAACACGCCAAAAGCATCAGCCGGCGATAGGATGCGAACCCCGTGTCATTCGAACGCGAGGTCAGTGCGATAACCACTACACCACGCAGCCAGCTGGCGAATTTAGATTGTTTTGTTGGGTTATGACCTTTCGGTCTGACAAGACCATTTCAGAGCCGGAGGGATGATAGGATGGAGACATTGGTCTTGGCGAGCACCCTGGGTCCAGTTCATATAGAGTCCCTGGTCCCATTGCTGTTACGTGACACTTATTGGAAAGGGCGACCCCACAATGGATTCATATAGCCACTCTTACACACCTGCACCAACGTTTCCCAAAGTGTCCCTTTGATAAGTGGCACTTTGGCAAAGTGACACTTGCCGATTGGCCTTTCTATATGAACTGGGCCCGGCCCTGGTGAGTTGCCGGGGCTGAGCCTGACCAAAGGATAGGCCGAGCAGCCCCCAAGCACTCACCGCACCCGGCTACGGGCGAGCTCGGCTTACGGGCAATCCCAAATGGGATAAAGTTTCCCGTCCAGTCCGGATCAGGGGGGTTGCGGCGTGGAGGAAGATTTGAGTTTCCTGAGGATATTTTGAATACAGAAGCTCTTTATGAAACATGAAACATGTATTTTATATTATTTTAACGGTCAAAACAGCGGCCGATGTCGGTCCGACGTCGTCCCGACGTCGGCTGGACCTCAGCAATTGATCTCGGTCCGACGTCGGCTGGACCTCGGCTGGACGTCGGAACATGCGGGCATATCCGACATCCAGCCGACGTCGTGCCGAGGTTGGACCGACGTCGGGCCGACGTCGGCATGCCGATGCCGAGTTGCCGACGTCACCCCGACGTCGGCCGACGTCGGGCCGACGTCGGCATGTTTACTGGGGGGGCATTGGACGCTTTCCCGTGTTTGAGCGTCCGAATAAGTTTTTTTTTCCACGGAAGCCTCAATAACCTCAATAACACGTCTAACGCACTGTAGCGTGGTGCCGTGAAACAAGGCCGCGGAGCCGGAAGTTCCGGGGCTACAAAAATAAGCGGAGAGGTGTGTTCGAAGCTGAGGGGATCCAGCGAGGGTCGGGCAGCACAGCAGTACGTGCTCCAGCACATCAGCCTCGTCTCAGCACACGGCGCAAAGCGCCGCGGGGCACCGCTTGTCTGGGCACTGATGGCACGCCGCGGAGTGGAGACAGCCGATTCAGCGCATGCACTGGAGCGAGCGGCCCCAGTGGCCCGCCCTCATCTGGTGCAACGAAACGGTGTCCTCTCGGTCCTCTCTGGGCCCTGGGGATAGGGAGCAGCGGCATGCTCCCGAGGAGTTGCTTGAATAGTGACTTGGGCCAGTTGTCACTTGTCACGCCATTGATGTGAGGCCGCACAATCAACCGCCCTGGTCAGCGAGTGGACAATTGAGGGCAGGGCAGCCGCTTGTTTCACCAGGTCGTCCACGCTCTCGCCTCTCATTCCCATCTATACCGCAGCATGCAGAACCCACTGCAGTATTTCTTAACCCGCGCCCGGCTGGGGGTCCTGGATTTCCACGCCCCGCTGGGGGGGGGGGGGGGTCTGAAGTCTGAACACCCTTCTAACTCGGCTCCTGGGCCACGTAGCGAAACGCGGAAGGCGGTGTTCGAAAGAGCGCCAAAAATAATGACGAAATCACTTCGGTCAATTTTTGGGTCAGGTCAAAGGTCAGGTCACCAGAGGTCATTGAAGGCAAAATTTTGCCGATTTCCAGGTCGAATGTCGACTATTTCCAAGAAGCCAACGCATAACTCGGGAACCAATAGAGCTACAGCGCCGCGGAAAAGCGCATTCGATAGCCCTATTAACGCCCTTTCTGATTAATCCTCTCAGATTTGACCTAACGTCAACGGTTTTGCCTGCAGGGGGCAAAAACTGCAAAAATAGCCGATTTTTCGGAAACAGTTTTTCTGCAATAACTTTTGACCCAAGCCTTGTGCGAGCTTACTTTTACCGGCATCGTGTTCCTCTCGTCAAGACGCATCGAATGAACCATAGCTTGACCTTGAAAAGTCAACTTGAAAATTTGACCTCAGGTCAAGGTCATGACCTGACCGGAAAGGGTCATGTTGCATATCAGTCGATCCGTATCGTCGAGCTGAACACATCTAAGGCGTTTTCATCGCTCTAGCGTGTCTCTATCAAAAGTTATTTGCGAAAAACTGTTAGATACCATTCGTGACCTAAGATGACCTCAGGGGCATAAACAGGGGTCACAGACACCATTTTCATGTTCAGTGTGTCTAAACCACTTGTAATTCAGTGTTTGGGAGTGTTTATAATGTCATTTGTCCAAAAGAGGCGCATTTCAATTTTCTCCCTTTGACTTAAAATGGGGAGGTCGCAAAATTGACCTGACCTTAGGTCATCGATATCAAAATTATGAGATACACATTTTGTATATGCTATTGCTCTTAGCAATCGCTAAAAGTTTCAAAGCGATCGGTCACTCGGTGTAGCTATGGCAGACATTAAAACTTTTTTATGAGGTGAGGTCACTTCAACTGACCTGGTGACCTGACCTTGAATGACCTTGGTCTGAAATTTTCACAACATGTGTAGAATTGATGTATGATAAGGTGTACCAAAAACGCGAAAGATATTCGCGAAAAACTTTTTTGAGATATTCGCGAAAAACCACAAGGGGGGTGTTCAAACACCCCCCCCCCCCAGCAGGGCGCGGGTTAACAATGCTAGGCGATGTTCAAGAAGGTCTTCCATTGGTATCTATCTTCCCGCCGAGGTTTGAGGCCTCACCTGGGCGGCCGCTCTTCCGCTGGGCGCTGGGCAGTGGGCACAGAGTAGACTCGTGAGTCAGGACGGCGAGCTGCAGTGACCGGGACCAGACTGGAAAAAATACACGTTATTATGCCGAATTTGTCCGGCGTAGTGGCGGTATTGCGCCGAAAATTTCAGCGCACGTCCGGCGTAACTCCGCATGCGCCGAATTCAGCGCATGGCGGCGGCGGATCTTTTTGGCGCATGGCGGCCGCATAATTTTTTGTCGAAAGACGGTCACTAAATTTAGTCGGCACGCCGGTCTATCTAGCAGCAGATTCGCCCTGCGGGCGGCTCTGGAGAGGTTTCGGGACGAGACATCGGCCCGACATCTCCGTCCCGGTCGTCGCGTGCTCGAACTGGCGAGCCGCCCTGAGTACTCAGCGGAGAAGCGGCCGCCCAGGTGAGGCCTCAACCCTCGGCGTGGAGATAGGCATGGAAGACCTTGTTGAACATCGCCGAGCGTCGTAACTCGTAAAGTAATACTGCAATGGGTTCCTACCCAGTGCAGTATCGAGAGAAATGAGAGCGCGGGCGACCTGGTGAAACAAGCGGCCGGCCTCCGCTGCCTTCAAACGCCCGCTCGCTGACCAGGGTGGTTCATTGTGCGGCCTCGCATCAATGGCGCGACAATTGGTCCGAGTCACTACTCCAGCCACTCTTCGAGAGCACGCCGCCGCTCCCTATCCCCCGAGAGTACGAGAGGACCGAGAGGACGCCGTGTCGGTGCACCAGATGAGGGCGTCCGGCGGGCAACTGGGGCCCCTCGCTCCAGTACGTGCCCCGAATCGGCTCTCTCCACTCTGCAGTCTGCGGTGTGCCAGCAGTTGGTCAGCAGTGCCCAGACAAGAGGTGCCCCGCGGCGCTCTGCGCCGTGTGCCGAGAAGAGGTTGTTGTGCCGGAGCACGTGCTGCTCCGTTGCCCGGCCATAGCTGGCTCCCAACAGCCTCAAACATACTGCTCTGCTGATTTTTGTGGCCCCGGAAATTCTGGCTCCGGCCTTGTTTCACGGCATGACGCTAAATTGCGACCCTACATTGCGCTAAGCATATTGAAGTATTGGGATTCGGTGGAATTAACAACTTATTCGGACGCTCAAACATGGGAGAGCGTCCAAGGCCCCCAGTCTGCAAAACGTGGCAGGGTTCGACGAGATCTCGTCGGGGCAGACACAGTGGGGCGGGGGCAGATATCGGGGCAGCTTTTGAGAAATCGGGGCAGAGTTCGGCAATTCCGGGGCAGACCGTTTGCGGTCTGAGTCGGGGCGGACCGGGGCGGGGTGCACGCTACCGGTGGAAAATAAAGAAGCGGAGTATTGTTGAAACGCGCGACTTACTTGTACTTGTTGGGTTAGGGCGCATAGCCTCGTTGGGCTCAAGCGTCCGTAGTTGGAAAAAGTGAGCTGCGCTACAAACGTCGCTGAAGCGCAGAAATTGTCATTTGTAACTGTTACCATATTCGAGTTTTCCCTTCATCGGGGCTATGAATGTTTCACACGCCGTGTTTCGTATTAGCAACCAAGGAAAGGCGCTACCCGGAGATACTCCTTTCTAGCCTCACCAAACCAAATCAAACCAAACCGAACCAGACCAAACCTGACCTAATCGAACACTCGTAAATGTGCTGTATAGCCCTCACGATGATTGCCGTCCGGCCAAATGATAATCCACATTACTACTTAGAAACGAACGCGTGCTAAAACGCTTAACTGACCGGCTGCGAACCCGCGACCTACAGATTAAGAGACGAGCATACTCTGCACACTTAAAACTAAGCCACCAACTAGATGATCATTGATCATCGCCGAGACGAGGTGTAATATCAGTTTTTCAATGATGCATTGGGGCATTGTCCGAGTAGCGCCTCTCTTTGGTTGCAAAAACGAAATGCGCCCCTCGCGGCTCGCTGCCGATTGATTCGACGTTGCCATGGCAACATGAGGCAGTTTTGCACCCCAACTGCGTCATCATCACATTTTAACCGGAACACTAGCCGCTCTATATAATATAACCTTGACCAATGATCAGATCCTTTCGTTCAAAAAATTGTTCGAGTCAAGTTCGAGTCTCATTACCGCGACCGACTTAAAGGGACCCTCCCACCTTCAAAAAAGTTAATGAATTGGCATGAAAGTGATGTCGCTCGGTTCAGAAAGAGCAAAAACGCATATCTACCAAATTTCATCGAAAAATATTCACCGGTTTTCAAGATATTAGACTTATACTTTTGTTTACTTTTTGGGATCTCCGCTGTTCCTAGCGACTTTATTTGAAAGTGCGGCATTTGTTGCGCGCAAAGCAGCATATACCACCGCGTGCTACAAAACGTTTTAGTCAAACATTTAACGGACGTTCGAAAGCCTGATGACGTCATCAGATTCCCGTAATGGTTAAGAGATAGGGACCACGCTGGTCCCACCCTGCAAGTAAAGGGAAGAAATTTCTTGAACACCATAAAGCTGCGGGGGTTGCGACCAGGATAAATGGTGGTTTCTGAGCCTGGCCGCAAACTTGGCTATCTCAACTCAAAACTAATGTTAAGGTGGGAGGGTCCCTTTAAATTTGCGCGGGTGATGTATTGATATGTAGTTTTATGCTATATATAGTACATTTAGGGCATAATCTAACCTGCCCCAATTAGATGCCCCATTTGGGGCAGAAATTCGACTGCCCGGGAGGCTAACTGCCCCATTTGGGGCAGGATTCCGGCTGCCCCAAACACCTCGTCGAGCTGGCTGCCACGTTTTGCAGACTGGCAAGGCCCCGAAACAATCTGTCTGGTCTGGTTGATTAGATATAGCCTTGATTGGTAGATATGTGTATGTGCTTCATATAAATTGGCTTAATTTAGGCACAAAAATGCACCCAATTTTCAGCGCAAATCATGCAGAAGTTTCAGCGCAAAATCACCTACACCATATTTCGAAGCAAGAGGGTTTCATGGGCATCCGGAGTAGTGTATAGATGTTTTCCAGTCTGGGAACGGGGCGGGGATGTCTCATCCCCAAACCTCTCTAGAGTCACCCGCAGGGCGATTCTGCTCCTTATTGACCAGCACTCCCACTAAATTCAGTAACCGACTTTCGCAAAAAAAATATGTAGCCACCTTGCGCCAGAAAATTCAGCCGCTGCTATGCACTGAAGGCTGAAGCTGACGCATGTGAAGTTTCGCCGGAATGTGCTGAAATTTTTGACGCAATCACGCCACTACGCCGGGCATTTTCAGCATAAGGTGTATGTTTTCCAATTTCCGGTCTGGGCCAGGGCGGTAGGTTCTTGTTCTGATTGTCAGTTGTTACCGACACTCCACCTAATGAATAATAATCAAATTCACATGTATTTAAAGGAAAGGCGACACCCAGCATCTTCCTATCTACTTACCGATTTGTTACCGATGAACTTTTAACTTTTAAGCCTATTTAAGTTATGTTATGTTTTCCAAAATTCCTATAAATGTTTTTCAAGGAGTTTTGCAACTATTGCGCCACGAACGTAAATACATTCCCTTGCAAGGTTTCCCAAAATACTGTAGTGTTCTTAACACCACGCTCTTTTTATGATGACGTCTTTTTAATGAAAAAACATTTATTCAAGGCTAGGGAGCGATTCAGAAGGATTTTCATGGTGGTAAAAGGCAAAAAGCTACCTATTTTCTTTCAAACCAATAAATGACCTTGCTTGAAAGCTACATGATACTTCAGTGAAGCACATAGCATTTACAGTTGGTGTTTCAAGGAAAAGCTTATCATTTTATTTTGAAAGAGCTGAAGGCAAAAATCAGGACAGTATAGTAATATACTTCAAAGCCTTAGAAGATGAAATAATAATCTAATTTGCCCATCGTATGGTTTGTTTTGAGAATAGTTTCTTAGCTGACGTCATTTATGAATGGAAACGTTCAAGGCCAGCTGGTACAGTGTCCCCATCTAGCGATCCGTCGCGTCCGACCGTCGCCATGCGGCGTCGGCGTCGTTGTTGAGAATTCCGCGTGCCGCCATTTTGAGTCGGTGTGGTGTGCTGTCCCGGCGTTCACGTTTTCTCTTGAAGTGCGTTTCCTAGTGAAATTTGAAGATGAGCGACCGAGAGGTTAGTTGAGATGAATATGTTCGCTTGAAGTGCCCTAATTCGTTTCTTTGTAAGTCGTCTTTAATTATACTTTGAAATACTTCGGCATTCCTGGCGCATCATTCACCGTCATCTTAATGAAGTTCTATTGTTAACCGTCCTTTCGACGAAAGAAATAAACTAACCGTTATCATATTTGATGATTGTTCTGGAATTTTGCTAGTACGGTAATGAAATAAATGTCCATTGGTTACCTATACCTGTTGGTTTGTTGGTTGGGGCTGGCGAGTAGGGTATAGGTACTCACCTATGGTGTATTATCCACTCATGTAATGCCGAAAAGAAATCAAGCAATGCTGTCAATATGTACAGTGCAGTCACTCGCCCGCAAACCATAGGCGGATGCTGTGACGTCACTCCTGATTCTTTGAAGGGGTACTCCCGTTGGTATCGGTAACCCTGGCGTCACCGGTAGCGTTTTCGTTCAAGGTTTCCTGCATTAGGCAGTATTAGGCCACCGTGCCATGCCGTAGCATGCTGTGATGTCACTGGGTAAGAGAACGTACCACGCCATCAGTATCGACTGAGACTCAGATAGACTCATAACGACTCAGGCAGACTCAAACTGACTCAGGCAGACTCAAACTGACTCAGACCGACTCAACCGACTCAAATAGATTCCGATCGACTCAGATCGACTCAGAACGACCCAAAATGACTCAGACCGACTCAACCGACTCAAATCGATTCCGATCGACTCAGACCGACTCAGAACGACTCAACCGACTCAAATAGATTCCGATCGATTACGATCGACTCAGACAGACTCAGAACGACTCAGGCAGACTCAAACCGACTCAGGCAGACTCAAACTGACTCGACCGACTCAGAACGACTCAAACTGACTCAGACCGACTCAAACTGACTCAGACCGACTCAACCGACTCAAATCGATTCCGATCGACTCAGACCGACTCAGAACCACTCAGGCGGACTCAAACCGACTCAAATCGATTCCGAGCGACTCAGGCAGACCCAGAATGACTCAGGCAGACTCAGAACAACTCAGGCAGACTCAAACCGACTGAAATCGATTCCGAGCGACTCAGACAGACTCAGAACGACTCAGGCAGACTCGAACCGACTCAGGCAGATCTCGGGCCGATTCAGATAGACTCAGGCAGACTCAAACCGACTCAGGCAGACTCAGGCAGACTCAAACCGACTCAGGCAGACTCAGACTGATTCAGATCGATTTCGAGCGACTCAGAAAGACTCAGAACGACTCAGACAGATTCAGGCGGATTCAAACCGACTCAACTGACTCAAATCGAGTCAGTTTGAGTCTGCCTGAGTCGGTTTGAGTTTGCCTGAGTCGTTCTGAGTCTGTCTGCGTCGATCGGAATCGATTTGAGACGGTTGAGTCGGTCTGAGTCAGTTTGAGTCGTTCTGAGTCGGTCTGAGTCGATCGGAATCGATTTGAGTCGGTTGAGTCGGTCTGAGTCAGTTTGAGTCGGTCTGAGTCAGTTTGAGTCGTTCTGAGTCGGTGGAGTCAGTTTGAGTCTGCCTGAGTCGGTTAGAGTCTGCCTGAGTCGTTCTGAGTCTGTCTGCGTCGATCGGAATCGATTTGAGACGGTTGAGTCGGTCTGAGTCAGTTTGAGTCGTTCTGAGTCGGTCTGAGTCGATCGGAATCGATTTGAGTCGGTTGAGTCGGTCTGAGTCAGTTTGAGTCGGTCTGAGTCAGTTTGAGTCGTTCTGAGTCGGTGGAGTCAGTTTGAGTCTGCCTGAGTCGGTTAGAGTCTGCCTGAGTCGTTCTGAGTCTGTTTGAGTCGATCGGAATCAAGTTGAGTCGGTTGAGTCGGTCCTGAGTCAGTTTGAGTCGTTCTGAGTTGGTCTGAGTCGATCGGAATCTTTTTGAGTCGGTCGAGTCGTTCTGAGTCGGTCTGAGTCGATCGGAATCGATTTGAGTCGGTTGAGTCGGTCTGAGTCAGTTTGGGTCGTTCTGAGTCGGTCTGAGTCGATCGAAATCTATTTGAGTCGGTTGAGTCGGTCTGAGTCAGTTTGAGTCTGCCTGAGTCGTTCTGAGTCTATCTGAGTCTCAGTCGATACTGATAGCGTGGTACGTTCTCTTCCCCAGTGACGTCACAACATGCTTCGGCTTGGCACGGTGCCCTAATACTGCCTAATACAGGAAACCTTAACCTTGAACGAAAACGCTACCGGTGACGCCAGGGTTACCGATACCCTCCCGTTCTCATAAATGTAAAAATGACTAACTCCACTTAGATATTTTTGATGGTACTTCACATATATTGTTCAACTTTTGTTGTAAATAGAAAGCCCAATTCATTTTCTAGTGACAAAAAGGAGCAAGTTACTAATGCTAAGACATGGATGGTTTTGAAGACATAGGCAATTTTGAAACCCCCTGCAGCAGCAGCAAACTAGTGTTAAATTTTTAGGTACTTTATTGTAAATCATCTTTCAATAAATTTTTCATTTGGTATTGGTTTATCAAAGACCTTGTTGCCTCATTTCTAGTACCTAGTTTGAAGGATTTCTTTTAAACTAAGTCTTTAAAAAAATGCTTAAAAGCAATCTTGGCAAGGTTACAGGATAACTGCACCTAAATGAGGAAGTGATTGTGATGTGGTGCCCACCCATCATTATGGTACTGAGTGTCCCTTTCAATGCAATCAAAAGTATGTTGTCCTGGCCCTGATATATCATGGCCCTGATATCAAATACCTAGGTACCTAATGTGCCTGCACATTGTTCTTGTGACGTGTTGTTCTTTTTTTTAATGGATGCTGATATCAAAATCACATTGCTTATGTGTTGCTATTTTTTAGAAGGAGTCTGTTATCAAAACTGTGAACAACATTATGCTGGTCAATCTGGCTGCAAATCGATGTATTATCACAAATCTGCTGCTGGTAGACAGATATTCACTGTATAAGAATTAAGAAGATACTGCTGTTGGCATAAGTTGAAGTTAGCCCACTCAGCTCATGCTCATTTTAGCTCTTCAGCCCATTTTAGACACACAAAAAAATGAAATGAAGTTTATAGTAAGTGGTTGTTCAGGCCTGCACAAACACTGTCACTGATGGTGGTCCAAGACCCACACACTCCATCAAAAATCAAAATAATGGTAGAAAATGGACTTTGTTGAGGATATAGTATGGTATTCACTTGGCTCTCTGCAACTTTAAAAGTTGTTAGGAAGACTTGAAAGAAGCGCAGATGACCAGAGTTGGCCTACGTTACGTTATTTTGAAGTTTTCGGTAACCCGTAGCTGTCAGTACCGTTTCGTAGCGTAATTGGGATGTTTCGGTAGCGTAGTACGGAAAATAATAGAATAACGTAGGAACTACGAAATGGATTCCGTAGCAATTACAGGTCAGCTGTATTTGTATAAGGTACATAATTTTTTTCAGTTTACTCATATCGTCACCAGACCTCCGGCCGTTTACACGGATGTGAGACGCCTGCTATATGAATACCACTGAGTCTTTCTTCCGGCCGGACCGACACCGAGGATTTCCCACTGGGGAGTCCCAGGGAATTCCCTGTCGGAACTCGGAAGTCCAGCGCATCTAGCGAGTAGCGCGTAGGCACCGCCGCACCGACGATGCTGCAAAGCCGGCGATCATTGTGCGCAGTATTTGGCTTTCTAGAGACTAACCGTTTCCACTGGGTAGTGGATGATGACATATTGCATAACGTAGTACGATAAAATAATTTGCTGCGTTAATTAACAAATACCGTAATTCAGTAACGTAGCAATATATAACGTATCGTAATTCGGTATCGTAGTTTTGGCCAAAAAAGCAAACGTAGCGTAACGTAGTGCGTAACGTAGCGTAGCGCAGGCCAACTCTGCAGATGACCACTGTAGTCCGGGCGCCCAAAAACCCCAATTCATCATCATCATCGACTTGAAAGAAGTAGAGTAGTTGAGCACCTAATAGGCTGAAGTATAGCTTATCTCGTTGCTCTTTGCTGAGTCCAACAGTAACTCCAAATTGCTTCCTAGAATGTGTGTGATACAAAACATTTGAATACCAACATGTTTGCCCACATCTTGCATTGTCAGTAGGGATGATATCTTGCATCGTCAGTAGGGATGAAAGTCTCAAATATCACAGTGAAACAGCTGTATTTCCATCTACGCTGGAACCGTCCTGTGCTTCTCCGACGGGAAAGGATCATATTTCATCAGCAGGGATTGTATTCGACAACGATCTGGATCGTAAGGTCGAGCGTAGAAATGGGACTGTGTGGCTCTGAAAGCATTACGTTCAGCAGACAGCGTTGCAGGAGCCGAAACTAAGTCCTCGCGGTGCTTTGCTGCGCCCGAACTGGTTTCAGATGAACTTTACTGAGGATAAGCTAGCTGGGATGGATGCTGAGTTTGTGTAAAATTTATTTTTGCTCCATGGGGCTACCTTGGCTTGGAGCTGCAGCCACTTTTGCAGCACGTAGGTGCAGACTTGTAAACGATTCAAAAAAATTCAATCAATTCAATCACGACTCACTTGATGAAATGACCGATTCAATTATAACTCAATCAAACAGTCTGATTTTCCAAGCGATTCAATCACGACTCATGGACCCTGTGATTCAACTCAATCACGACTCATCCCATTATCAGCGATTCAGGGAATGACTCAACTCATGATTTAACTCAACGTGATTCAATCAAGTTGTTATCTAAAATTTATACATATGTGATATCAATTTAAGTCATTTTTGGAAACTGATACCAAACAGATACCAACCAAATACACTAAGAAAATACCAAAAATCATAGAAAAGTACTAAATCTATACTGAACTCAACAAAGTTGTAGATATTCATATAAATACGGTGTAAAGATGATAATTTAAGTACAGAAAAGACAAGCTCTGTTACAAATGAAGCTACCAGAGACTTATAAAAATTCATTTATCTGCTTGGCGCTTGCAAAAGGAAACATGCAAAATTGCACAGGACACTACCACATATTATCAGCATC